CCTGTAATATGAAGTGTCGTAACTTAGATTTTCAGATTTCAATGGCAATGTTCGTGTTGCTTGCGGGTTTGGCCAAAGTTCCCTTTACCATTTTATATTTCCCTGCAGACCTCTCCATATTTCTCCCACACTCTGTTTAAAGGTGGCAGAGGTTTCCTCCTTTTTTGTTTTGTTTTACACCAACAGCTCATTCAGGCCAGTGCAGGAGACCGTGGTCATGGGTTTGGCTCAGAATAAGAAGCTAGGCATGTATCTAGATATAAAACGGCTTAATGCTGATCCAACGGTCTGCCATAAACTCGACAATATAATGCGCACAGGATGTCTGTAACAAATCATCAGGAGATGTGAGGCTTACCGTCGACCTGATATGTGTCATTCTTAATAAGGAGATACAGAGATTCTGATTGTGGGCAACAGCAATCTAGTCATCACCTCACATATAAAAGACACATTTCTTACTTTTTAGGTCACTTACTGTACTCTATACCGTGACTCATCTTTAAAGTGTTAGATGATGACACTCAATCAATCCGATCTCTGTATGATATTTGTTGTATCTGCTTAAAAACACAGTGATGGTATTTTTAAAGGTAAATATTTTCTATTTTCTGAGCCATTATCATAACTTTCAAGGTAACTCAGGGCTGCTGGCGCTCAGTGATAGAGTTGATTGACTCTCAACTGAAAGGTTTTGGGTTCAAACCCCTGCTCCCTGCAGTGACGTGTGGAAATCTGCTAGGGCAAGACACTGAACCAGAAATGTCTCCCGCCGCTACGCCAGTGGTATGTGAATATGTGTGAATGCAAAAGTACTGTTGGGTGGTGTGAATGGGTGAATCTGACATATGGCGTTAAAGCGCCTAGAGTAGTTAAATAGAGAAGTGCGGTACAAGTCCTTTTACCATTTTCCAAGGTGTTTCTGCTGGATGCAAATCTACATATAGTCTTTTGGCACTCTATGCACCCTATAGCCAGAATCAGGATTTTGTGACTTTTGGACAAGTAACTGTTTCTCCTTTTTACAGTCCACATGCTAAGGGAAGCTAACCATAAAGCCAAATGTATAGTTCAGACAATAACTTCATCTCAAGCTTTAACTGGGCCAAGAATCCAGTGTAATCTTATTATAAAGGTGTGCAGGGCAGTATAGAAGGTTTATCATTATCTACAAATTAAAGTCACAGGAAGCAGGTTTGATCAAACAGAAGCAGCTTGATGAGAGATGGAGCACATGCTGGAGGCGTGCTTTTGAACAGGAGCCAGAGCAGGAGCAGTAAAAAGATGTGCAAAGCATACACAGGTGCTGATTAGAAACCTTCCTTTGGGGCAGAGTGAAACCACAAAGCTGCAGAGACTACTCTGCAAATAGACACCTGCTGCACTTTTACTGTAGTGCAGTTGGCTCCTTTGAAATAGTCTTTGCAGGAGAGCTATGTAATAGTCGCTGTAAAAGACCATCACTGTACTGGCTTAAAGCTTTTGGAAGAGCTCCAGTGGGTGCTGTCTGTCTAAGTGATGTGCAAATGATGGGCCGTATAATGAGCAGGTGCAGGCTCTGTAGCAAAATCATTTCCACATGCTTTACGACCAGTAGGATGAAAAAAGGTTTTTAGGGAAAGAAATAGTTTAAAGTGCAGTTTCCAAATCTTACAGGTAACAAATACAGTGACACAGACATGTGATCTATAATATTTCAACACAAAATTATTTGTAACCTTTAAGCTTTCACCAATCATACAAAGCTTAAAATTAACTGCACTGGGATTACCCATAGTTCATAGCACATTTTTCCTCAAGTTTATTTGGATGCAAAATTTGAATCTTGGTTTTGCTACAGTATGGGGGGACAACAAAAGCAAATACTGGAAGTGTATAAACAGATAGGTTACCTGAAAGTGACAGATCAACATTTTTAAGTAGTAGTTACCATATGAGTTCCCATTAGCTTAAAGACATGGAAAAGCGTTTACAATATTGGGCTAAATTAATTGATAGCTATTATGAGTTGTTTTAAGAGTTGTATTAAGAGCCTTGAGGAAGGTTCTGACATGGGTTCAAAATCAGAATTAGCATTTATTGCAGAGTACATTTACAAATATGAGGAATTTGACTTGTTTTGGTGCAAAACAATTAGCATAAATAAAGCAAAAATAGCAAGCAGCTATAAAACAGCTGTTCTCCTGCTGACAGTGACAACTCAACATTGGAAACCAACCACAATGGAGCTAATCAAGATCTCTGTGCTGCACTTATCGTAAGGCAATCTGGATTTATTGAAACACTAAATGATATTAGCCAAAGCTTTCTTTTTCTTTCCACAAACTTTTGGTGCCCAATCATTCATCTTAATGTTTTGCTTTGCCAACTATTTGTCTTTTTCAGTGCCAGATATAATATCCTCAGCAGGCCTGGGCAAAGAGCTGCAGCGGGTATATTTATGGCTTTCTTTGTTGCAGCCATTCATATGTTTGCAGTAACAGCTTGTCAATAGCTTTGTTTTGTCCAAAGGCAATTTTCATTCTTAACAAAAAGTCTGATTTTCTTCAGCTCGCCTCCATTTTCAGAAACAAGCTGGAAACTTATTAAGCCCCTCTGGAATGCCTCTACATCATTATAAAAGTTAAAGTCTCTGCTGATTCCAATGTGTTGCTGTGGTTATTGCCCCCCCAGGAGCCACAATCGGAAACATTGTTTTCATAATGGTGCTTTTTGTGTTTACAAGTGTGTTGTGGGCTCTTTCTATGGGCAGTCCAAACATTTCAGAAGTATGTATTAAAACGTCATTTCCCCTCAGGTTTTTATCAAGAAATGTTGAAGGGAAATCTCTGAACATTTGTATAAATAGTAGGGGTTCAACGATTCACAGAGGTGAAGGTTCCTGCTCCTGTCTTCGGGTCCATTTCTCCACACAAGTGATTTAAAGAGGCAGAGGGTCTTCCAGCCCCGCCTCGTCATGTTGCTACTGTATATTACATTTCTTCTTCATGTGCGTTGTTGTGTCTGCTTCTTCTGCCTCTGTTGGTTGTTTATTTATGGCTAGCATACAACTATGAGCATTATTACCACTTTGATTGGGGTATGGATGGTGCCATGTGGAATTTCCTTTTTTTTTTTTTACTCATACATGGGCTATTTGTCAAATGACTGCATGCACATAATCGTGACTGCTCAGGACAAAAACAAATAATTGACAGGATTATGTTCAACAGAATTTTGCTGCACAGGTTCACAACATTTTGACCAAGAAATTCTGGAGGAGTGGATTGATACCAGTAACAGTATCAGTATTAGTATTGGTAACCCTAACCCTACCAGGTATCAGCATCGACATTGAAATCAATATCTGCCTAAAATGATGTTTTTGGTGTCAGTGAGTAATGCACCAATCCATCATCACTAAGCCCCAACAAATCAACAGGTTTCTTTGCAGTAGTATTGAAGGAGTTCTCATAACTGGCCAAAACCTTGGGGCTAAATATTGGTATCAAGAAGGAAAAAATGACATCTCAGCATCTATAATATTTCTAGGGAAGATTCAGAAAGGAACTCATGCTCTACAAAACTTGCATGAAAAGCCATGAGTATTTAACTGTGCATCAAAAATAATATCCATAGGCACTGAGCAGGCTACACCTCACTCCCCTGAGCAGTGTAATGCAACTTGGCAGTGGAAAGCTGCTGGACTACCTATGGAGCGTTTCAGATTTAGTGCTATGTGTGCCAGTGCAGGGGAAGCCCGTCTTTGTCTACAGGCCTGTAATTCTGGGTCAGTGGTCCATAGCCTCACCAGGGACAGCCTCCAGACATGGGTCTTGTACTAATGTCCATGATCTATGGATTAGTGTCGGTGTACATTTGTCTGTGATTCAGATATCTGTGTAGACAAGTCAACAGGGATTAGCCTGGAAAGGTAACCACTGCAGAGCTATGTCTATAGTCGTATAGTGACAGCTGAACAACGTGTTCTTTTACCTTAAGGTATAAGAGACATTTCTTTGGCAATTCCAAAATCAATCAAGAGTCTTAATTTCCTACACCTGGAAGTGATTTTAGATCCGTTTGCAAAATATTAACTTGGTCTAGAAACCAGAAAAGGCAACTTTGCCCATGTAAATATATTTGACAGTTAGTTTATCATATGAAAAAGAGATTAGTATCTGTGGAAATGGCACACTGATCTTGTTGCTAAGCGGGTGGTCAGTTAGTCACTCTTCTGACACTGATGTAATACTGATTTTTTCCAGTGTTAGTTTTCCCAAAAGTGCAACCTCAGAGGAAGAATAAGAGTCCAACATACCCAGCTTCATCCTTCATCTTGAATGTTAAAATTGTATTTTTGAGCTCAAGCTCATTAGGGCTCCAGCTTATGGATGCACACCTCATTGTCAAATCCTCTAATGCAGCCATGATCTTTAACAGAGCCCACCCAGGAGCCCCCGCCCGCTGATTGACTGAAGTTGGAAGCAAAAATTGCCACACAAAAACTGCTGTGTAAAAAGAATGGAAAAAAGAGGTGTTCCTCTTGTTCAGGGCACATTTTTACATTGTGCTTGCCAATTCTCAGTTGGAGATTGCTGGATTTGATCCTCTGTGTAAACATGGACTTGATTTGGGCCTGTTTTTGGTTTTAATTGTATGTTTGTGTAAGCCCTGCTGTCTACAATGCATAAAGGACTGGTGCCCACTCTGTGACAGGGTATTTTAATCAAATTCTTTAGTAGATGTCAAAGTACACAATGTTTGTTTCTTAAATACTCATTTGTTAATCTTTTGATTTTAACCTTCTCCCTGTCAGTTCAAAATGTCCAATTATGCAGCTCTGTTTGTTTATTGGCTAACATGATGGGTTTAACTGTTGTTTTAGTGTATTATTTATTATCTTTAGCAGGCAATGGCAACTGAAGAGTTTCAAAATAACTGACTTGGACCATAGTTTGTCATTTGGTCCAAATTTGTGTGTTGCTTAACAATTGAAACTTTGTTTTTCTCTCTTTTAGGGCACTCCAGGTCCAAAGGGTGAAAAGGTGAGTCATTTTGAATTTAATAATTTATTCATATATTCAGTGAATTGACCAATTAAGATCTTTGTTAAAACTGCCTAAATAAAATGCTTCACACTTAATAAAATATCCCTTTTTGCTCTCCTTCAATGACTGACAGCAGTCTAATGCCTCTATGTTAAGCCAGAGCCAGCAGCCAGTTAGCCAGTTAGCCAGTTAGCTTAGCATACACCTGGACCCACCTGAGGGTAATATGAAACTATTTGTAGCTGTAATACTTCATTGTAATTTGGGGCCGAGCTAACCAACTGCTGGCTAGTTAATGATAGCTAATGACTGTACATTCTGGTTTAAATCTTCTTATATTATGTTATAAATTATTTAGCAATAATTTTTAATGTTGCAATTTATTTCAAAGCTGTCCATAGGTCTCTTTGAAAAATGGGACATTTTTGGTTTTAATATCCAGTCTGTCATACATTGACTCAGGTCAAGACTATAAAATACTGTAAATCTTTACTTTTGCCCTACTCAGTAAATGTGTCCATAAACAGGCTCATGTGGCATTTACGGCAATAATTCGCATTCAAGTCATCCTGACCTTAAGTCTAAAAGTATGAATATTTAAATTCTCTGGTCGTTCACAAATCCACAGCACAGTGCATAAATGACAGAAAGCCAGAGCCCATGCTGGAGCCCTTAAATGCCTCGCTGAGCGTTCCTCCATAAAACAGCAGTGGAGCATGCAAAATAACCGCACTGTCTGTTTATAAGTCTGCAGGACTCGGGGACAAATGTGCAGCGCCTTTGCTTTGAAAGAATAAAACCACAGAAGTCCCTTAATTCACACTAAAGTTGATAAAGCCCCTGAACAGACTAAAATGGAAACAAATGTATTGAAGTGCACTGTTATATAATGCTACTGGGCAAGATCTTTTCTGTTTTACAGGCCAGAGATGAATAGATGTTGTTTATTCATATTTTGTGCTTTTTGCTGGTGAAGTGGCGTGAGAGTGCTAACCAGAGGTGAAGTCAGACACAGAGAGACAGTTGTCATCTGCATCATGTCGCACTCTCGGGTGACTGATGATTTTAAGTAATGTGGGGTGTGGGATGACATTGGTTGTAGTGGCTGACCAACATCATGAATCAACTGGGTGAAAACGTATTCGTTGCCCCTTGAAGATGAAATTTAAGCTATCAGCATGACTTATAAAACCTGATTTATATAATTGACGAGCATTTGCAATGACAAGTGTGATAAACACAGTCGTGTTAATTAGATGCATGTTGATACCTCTCATGCGAACTACTTTAACTGCAGTAAAAACAAAAAAAAACAACTGCAGGCTTTTTCCCCCCACCCAAGACGAATGTAGTGTAAATCATTGTGGCCATTCAAAAGTGTTTTCCCAATAAATCCACTTTTGGAACAATTGACGAATGAAAATTTTCAAAAATATTCAAAAGCTGTTTTATTTGAATATGCTGTTGCAAGTTTGTTTGATCAAAATTCCCCATCCATGTGTGATAAGCTGTTTGGCTCATTTTGCTGTGGCTAACTTGTAAACGAGCCAACAGGAGAGTGAGCTGCTTGAAGTGAGAGGGTTTAAGCAGATAGATTAGTGTAATAATTTCAATGTCCAACATTTGGTCGTCCTTCAGTTGATTCAAACAAAGGTGTACTTTTGGTTCAGCTTCACACTAATGTGATAAACCCACTCTTTTATACACATGTTGATTCAGAACCAAATGCTCTCCCGTTGGAACGTGCACCGTCCACAGAGATTCCCCCCCAAAAAAGAAGAAAGCCAAAAATCTCTGGGGCATAAAATCTGGCCTGGCAATGCAGTTCCACCCCCGCACCACCCACCCAACCAACCCACCAAACCTTGCACCACTGCTCTCCTTCTTTCTCTTTCTCTCATACCCAATTCATGTCAGTCCATGTTATCATAAGTGATTTTTACCCTCAACCACAACGAATAGTTGAGGGTTCCTGTATTATTTTCCTCTCTCAATGTGTTCTGCAATATGGTTCAGTGATTTCGGTGTGTGCCTCAACTTTATTGTTAGCACTGTACTTGTGCTTGTGTGTGTTCAACTCTCGCATTTCAAGACAAATTCTTTCTTTTGCCTTCCGCAGGGGGATCAAGGTGACCAGGGACCACGGGTATGTGGTTTACAGAACTTCTCCTTGTGATTAGCTGATGAATGTGACTATGTGTGTGTCTCCCCAGCAGAATTGTGGGCAAAAAGGTTTGAGATGCATGAAATTCCTGGGATAGTGTTCTTCCCATCTGGCCAAATACAACAAGCATTTCAGCACTGGTTATTTCAACATCAAGAAGGGGCAGGCAAACGTGCAAGATACCTCAGAGGTCACAGCGTGGTGTACTTGTTGAAGACGTTTCATTCTAACCTCTGGTCTTCAAAATATAAATGAGTACAAGCCTCCGCAGAAGATATGTGCTCAATCGCAGCTGTAATCAAAAGCTAACTAGCTCCATCTCTATAATTACTTGTGATTCACTTCAGTCCTCATTGTGACATGCCGTATTCAAGACTTTAATCATTTCCAGCTCCGTAGTTTGACGTTTCTATAAAAGCGCAGCTTCTAAATGATGATGATGTGAGTGCTTTTCCATGCTCGACAGACTCTGAAATGAATGGCTCTATCTCTATGTCGCAGCCAGCTCGCCCTCATTTTTCCTCAAATAATGGTTAAAAATGAGCCCTCCTTGAAAACAGGCTGACTGCTTGTTTAAAGTAGATTGCATTAACTGGGGGAACATGTGCACAGGCAAATGCTAAATTTTCACTTCCTCAGTATCTGATGTCATCATCAAGAGGACATAATGTGGAGTCAAAGTTGCTTTAAGTGCCTGTAATTGGTTTTCATGAGGGCATAGAGCACATAGAGGTTAGAGCACAAGGACAAGAGAACAACACAACAACACAGAGGTTTTCTTGTCAAGATAAAAACAAATTCTATTTAAAACAAATGATCCAAATTCTGTGTTGGCGCCCATCCATACGTTTGTAGTTAGCCTATTAACATGGTCAGCTCTCCTGCGGGCACGTCAAAGCACCACATTTCTGATGATTTGGAAGTCAATACAAATGACCTTCCATCTGAAATTGGATTAGCGGTCTCGAAGTGATTCATCTTACATTACACATGGGCACCTCTCAAATAACAGCCAAATTTCGCAGAGATTGAGTGGTTTCAAACTTCCTTAAGATCCACAAATGCATTGCTGATATCCGAAGTTAATTTTTAATGATGTAAAAAGTATTGGATTATCGGCTTTGTGGAACCACTGAAAACTGGCTGAAAGGAAATCTCTTTTCTGAGGTGAGTGGAGTAAAGTATCACCGTTTGGAGAGACTTTCTTTGCCCATAATTTGTATCCTTTTGACTCAGGAAATGGAGTCATCTGTCTCTATCAGCTAAATGATTTACGCTCTGGAAACAGCACTGTGGCTGACAGACTTATACCAGGTACGCCAGCCAGGCCCTATTTGTCTTGTAGAGTAACTAAATAAACTGTCCACTTTAAGATAGCGTTTAATTTACTTCCAATTACAGCAAAATTGTCCTCTAACAGGTACAAATAACGGACAGTCACAGGCATATGAAGGACTACAGGGGCTTGTTAGCAGTCTAGGTCAGCAGCAAATTGTATTACTCCTCTAAAATGGCATATTGAGTTTGTACATTAGATTAGTAGAGAAATGTAGAATAGTAAGAAAGATGTTCTTAATTAATGAAGTCAAAGCAGGATAAGTGCTGCCTTACCTTGACTTTATTTGGCATGGAATTAATTACATTTCATGCCCACTGTTGACTGTGTGCACAAGGCTATTAAACCCATATGGGAGCACTTGTAAATAACAAAGCATGTCAAGAACATGTCCTCTACACATCACAGTCTGACTGATAACATCAAACCTAAAGTTGGATCATTTAAAGATAGACTACTTGTGTTTGTCTGTACACTTAATGTGAGTGTCATCTTGGGTAAAATCAAAGGGTCAAGTAAGAAGCCTGAAGCCTTTGTGGCCACAAACGGTGTGAGATATGCCACATGGCCGGCAGAATTTCCAAACACACACACACACAAGCACGCACACTTCCTCGGCCTGGTCCCCACATGTCAGGGTTAGCCATTTGTCTGCCCTTTAAGGTCAAAGGCCGCATCCAAACGCCAAGGGTTATCCAAGCAACAAATAATAAATTGCCCTGTTTTGACAAACAAATGTGTGGCCACTATTTCAGCTCCACTGGTGGGAAATAATCAACAGGAGTTAAAGGCTAAATGCTTCAGCAAAGAGGCTGTGTGGTCTTTTTGACAGATGACACTAGCTACAGGTGTCAGAAAGAAAGTTGGTGTTTATTCCTGGGACATTTACGGGAAGGATTCCTTAGATTTCCTCAGGAATCTAGCCTTGTTTATCCAATACTTTGTTTCTCACATCCTGGGATTTAACCAGTTTTCAGAGCTCTTCCAAAATAAAGAAACTGTAATTGTGCAATTTCCAGGATTTGACTTTTTGGTCATGAACAAAGAAATGTTTCACATTCTGCTGTTTGAAATCAGAAACCTTAAAATGACTTTCAGTTGAGATAAATTTGATGCATCAGATTGATGCCAAATCTGAGGCTTCAAATGAATGTATTATTCCTTTCTTAAATGTATTGAAACCATCTGCGCACAGACTTGGTTGTCCGCTCCACATATAGATATTCAGAAAATGCCACAGCCTGTATTTGCTAAGGATGTTTTGTGCGTTTGGTGTGGTCGAAGGGAATCTGTTTCTTGCCAACGTCCCTTGACGGCTGTTGCTGATTGTCCTCATATTTTGGCTTTTTTGTTTACTATAGTTGCAGTCGTCTTGCTGCAGGCAGCACACAGCAATAGAGCTCCTCACCAAATAACCAACATCCGGAGAAAATAAAAACCAAGCAATCTATGAATGGTTTGGATTTTCTTTCAGCCCTGGTGCCATTATCATTCTCATTGACTAACATTAACATTGGGGCAATGAAGAGTGGGCACTAATGCACATCTAGTCAGATGTTTTAAGTCTAATAGTTGACCTGGTCACATCAAACATATTGTAAAAGCAAAAAGGTTTCAACCCTGAAAGCAGAAAGACGTCTCAGCCTACACTATGTTTAAATTTTGTGGACTCTTTATACTGTCCATATTCCAGTCCTTGTTTTCCTTCCTTGTGTTCAACATTGTTTGAGGTCGTAAATAACTTAAGAAACATTTGCGCTTCAATCCCAGTCGCACACAGCAGGTCCATTGTCTGCAGTGTAAGAGTATCCATTGCTGTGTTCTAGCCTGCAGGGCTGAATTAAATCTGCCTGCCTTGAAAGCCAAATACTAAATGAGCCATGCTTTTTGAATTATCTTTGGAAAACCAGAGGGATGGCACCAAAGCCATGTTAGTATAGGCCAGATTTTATCTTAAGCTAAAATATAGAGGGAGATTGATCTCTTACAGGATTTGTTTATGTTGGTGTGCCAGTCTTTGGGAAATATTCTAAAGAGTTTATTCAGGTCTGTTGGACATCCAATGTGGTGCAATACAATCTTTGCATACTCTTCTAAAAAGTTAGCAAAAAGGCTAAAAACAAATATTGCTATACCTGTTTGTGCAGCTAACTCTTTTTAAAATGAAAATGTATGAATATGTATGAACAACCCAGCAAAAAAATAATTATTCATGATTGTATATGAGAGTAAAAGGAGTGCATTTTTTTGGGTTGAAATTTCAAAGGCTTGTTCAGCTGAAAAAATGTCAATGTTTTTGGATTCAGATGAAAGTTAGCATCCAGCTATAAACCCTTGTCTCCTTCTAACAAGGAGAAAGCCCAATGCTTTCGTCCTTGATTCAGTTTTCATGAGTAGATCACATCTGTCATGACCAATGTTGACAAGGGAATTGGAAACCATTTGATTGAATTTCCAGCAAACGTTGCAATCCCTTGATGTCCCCTAAAACTCTACGAACAATACAGTCACTCAATTTCCAAGCACTTTATAGCTCAACGTCTCTTCTATGATAATCATCTCAACAACTGCCCAATCTGTGGGGTTCAGAAGGAAACAACAGGAAATGGTTACTAAGCTTTGGCAATGTAGTATACACAATACACAGAATGGTCCCTGTGCCATTATAGACACTGTTTCATGGCGGAGAGTAATGTGGACTTGTTTAAAATAAAACGTTGGTCTTGTTTTTGTCTGAACTTAAACATCTGGTCCTCAAAAGTAATTGTTTGACATTTCAATTTATGTTTGCTTTTGACTGTTCCGCTCTGTCCATCAGGTTTTCAATTATTATGCTGCCTATTTTAAGAATATTTGGAAGTAGGATTCTTATCTTTTCCACCTTTGACAGTTTTGTTCACCCAGTGTTTGAACATCATGTGTGTGTTGTGCCATGTTCTGCTGTTTGTCCCTTTAGGGATTGCCTGGTCTCCCTACGCTGGCTGCTTTGCACAGCAATCAGATCCTGACTGTCAAGGTTTGTCGGTGGTGATGCCGCTGAGCTGCTCTGTCCGACCCCCTCGGCAGCACACACTGGGAGTAAATGAATCACTGTCGGCTGCTTTCTCTGAAAGCCTGATGATAGACTAGGTCCAGGAAAACCCCATCCAATTAATCACAGCCAGTCAATCGTCTCTAATGCGGCTGTTTCACTTGAGATTTAGGTTGCTTGCTCCATGCCAGGTTTTCTGCATTGAAAGTAAAGGTGGCATTTTACTGAATGGAACAAGAATCTTCACCCTGAAACCAAGACATGGTCTGCCTTGTGTCCATTGATGATAAAATAAATGGAAGTAACTCCTAATGGAAAACTAGACAATAAACTGAAGTGGCAAAATGTTATTATAAAGCTAAGGCCCATGGTTCACCACAAATCCTTAAATCATCCAAATGATCCAATCCAATCTGGCCTCAAGGACTGTATCAGTGATGGATGAAGCCACGTAATACCAATGGGCACAAACAGAATAATGCAAGCATTGTAAGAAACAAGGTTCGACCTCAACTTAAAAGGTCATATACGCTGGTTTCGGTATGTGCAGCTCCTGGGGTCTGACTAAGCAGCAGGCGTGATGAAGTTGATGACAGCACTATTACAGCGAGGGGGGAAATTCCCATTTTTCTGGGGACTGCAAGCTCACTGTGGTGCCCTTGCACCCCTGAGGTGCTGATTACGGGCCCTGGCTCCAGAAAAAAAGCCAGAACTTCCACAGTGAACCACCTCTGAGCTGGAAAAATGTGGATTTCTCCCCCTGTCTGTGAAGGTGCTGGACGGCGGTTCATGAACATAGGCCTTTCTAACAAAATCTGTTTCTTCCTCTTCCTCCTTCTTCTTCTGGGACCTCATCCTTCTTCAACCTTCTCTCACCTCTGATCTCCGACTTCTTGACCTCACACACCTGCTCAGATGGTCTTCCCTAAGATCAATCATGGCTTTCTTTCCGCTGACCAGCAGCTCATAAAGCGGCGGCTCATTAAGGTAGTGGCTGTGTCCTCTCTCTCCTCCCTGCCATGTCTTCACCAAATCTCTTCTCTCCTGGCATCCTGCAGTTTGCATGCAAGCCTTCAGACAGACCTGTCACAAGCACTCGTTCACTCTTTTTGTTATTGTTAAGGGGAAATATGGAAATTCCAAAAACAAGCTATTATGAAAGTCAAATGAATTACTGTCCTGGCACTTCTTAAAGCACTTTCCCGGCAAGTTAGATTGCTGACTATTTTCTTAGACTGTATGTAATCCAGTACAATAATGGACCACACATTTAAGTATATTTTTCTTGATTAAGGTAGCTTTACAAAGTGACTTTTTTTGGTCGATGCCTAATGCATAAACTCTGTTCAACTCATTAGGTCAATTTAGGAATGCATGCATTTTAGTGGACTACTATTTCAGCTATAAATCATCCACTTAAAGCTCCATCTTCAGTGTATACTACAGTAGCTTTAGCCATAAGAGCTAAAAATGCAAACTCTCCTCCATGTTATTAATGGCCACCCAGGAGATCATACCACTACTCTCTTTTCATTATCTTGTATCTGCAGTTGCTCCAGTCTCAGTTGATCTAACAATATCACATAGTTCTGAAAATGTGTTATTTGCCACACAGGGAGATCAAGGGCAAGCAGGACCACCTGGGCCTCCAGGGCCACCGGGCCCTCCTGGGCCAAGGGGGCCTCCAGGGGACACGGGAAAAGACGGGCCTAGAGGTGTACCTGGTCTACCAGTGAGTATTGATTCTCAACTTTCATTTTAATGTCGTTTGTACAGAGCTGGGGAAGGCAACGTTGGAGAAAACAGCAAAAAATCACCAAGATTTTGAAAGTGTCTAATCAAAAACTACCAGCCTTTTGCTCGAGGTACTCTCCCAAAATATGAGTCTATGTTTGCATTGGGAAGAGGAGTGCAATGAATCTTTAGCATTGCTACTGTTATCCAGCTATATATTAGCAGTGCACGTAATTTTTTAACTTTTGATATGCACCATTCATACCGACTAGCTAGGTAACTAGCATTTGGTATATACCATTAGTAATGAGTGTGCAGGACTTCTCGCTGAGGTAAATTCAAAGGCCACTTTGCAGTTTATTGCCATAATGGCTTTAGCTAAACATGAATATACTCCCAAAGGAATGCTTAACTGTATGGATTTATGTTTACTCGTTTGTTTTTGATTATATGGTAACATTTTCCATGTCTGTGAGCCTGTCACTGGCATCACACTGAATTTATGTGAACTCTGCCTGCGAGAGAAAGAAGAAACAGAAAAGGCCTGTCAATTATATTCAGCAGTAAAACCTTCTGAGGGCTCCAGCTGATCTTTATTGTCTTGGCAGAGTTCACAGTGTGAGTGCAAAAATATTGAGTGTTGTTTATCTCTTTCTTTCCAAGTTTTTGATGTTTATTGTTTCGGTCCTTCCAGTTGCAGTTTCTATAGTTGTTGTGCTATTTCAAGATATTAAACTTCTCTCAGTGGGGGTCTTTTTTTCCTCTTAAGATTTATTTCCCCTGTTGTGCATCACTCCTAAAAACGTGGCACATCTGTCCTTTAAATGCCACAAAGAGGCAAATATGGAATAATTTTCAAGCATGGCTTTGGCTTTGCAATCTGGACACGCTGTGTGTCTCTTTTATATCCAGAGAACTGCAGGGACATGTGAACGCCAGGCCTTAACCAAAAGCAGAGACTAAACAAGGTTGTTGGACAGAGATGGGAAGGATACAGGTGCCACAGTGTGATAAAGGCCTCCCTGCCAACTTGGTACATGAGCAGCAACAATGCTGAGTTGTACTTGGCAACCTGGCCTGTATGGACCGAAGTGCAGTGGAGAATCCAACCTTAATCTGAAAAAAAAGCAGGCACTTTTCTCAGACTTGTTTATTTCTGATTAGTGTTTATCATCATTAAAAACTACATCCATGTTCTCAACTTTACCAGAAAGGTTTGGCCCATGGCTTAACCGTTAACTGTCTTTTTTGTATTTGCTATAGGGTGATCCAGGGCAGCCCGGAGATACAGGACCCATGGTAAGCACAGTTTTCTTTCCCAATTACATTTTGATCAAAATCTGTGGCTTAACTTGGATGCTAAACTAGCAACTCAGCATAACAGATTATTTTCATTTTATTTAAATAGTTTAACACTTTATAAAATATACACACGTTCTCGTCAAAATGAATCAAAGATGATGGCTCGAACTTTCACATTGGAAAAATTGAGCTACAGTAGAAGTAGCAGTGTGTTAGCCTAGCTTTGCATTGAGATCAAACAAAGACGTTCCCATTCCTTGACAGCAAAGATTACACAGCAGGAGATTACTAAAGATTGCAGTGATATAGTTACAGTATGTGCATAATACCCTGCAAAACTGGATTTTATAAAGACACAATGTGTGTATTGCTCCGCTTTCTGAGGTGCTAGAAGAACCAGGCTAGCTGTTACCACCCTGTCTCCAGTCTTTATAAGCTATGATAGCTTATGCTGGAAGTGGCTTCATATTTGCCATACATGCACATAAATTGTATTTGCCCCCATACCATGCAGCTTTTTCCTTCTCTTTTTCATCACTAGGCCTGTGTACACTAACACAGTTTTTGAGCCCATTTTCAATACAAAACCAATGCAGTTCTGCGTTTTCAGCATGAAGCGGCCTAAGCACAAAGACGCCTCTGGTGCAAGCTGTTTTTTGTCATTCCACTCCCAGCTCTCTTTGTTGGAAATAGTTCAGTTTTTGGAACTCCGTCGCATTTATCAATGTCACGTCTTCCTCACTGACCAATCAAAATCAAGAAGGCAGAACTTCTGATATACATTTTGTTAACTTCAGAGGTGGAGTGGAAACTTAAATGACTCATCTTTTTGAGGATACGATTTCCAGGTCTAAATATTGTCGAGGTTGACAATGCAATACATTCAAATGTAATACATCTATTCAAGTTTTCTACTTCATTATATAGTCATTATTGTGATATTGTGATTTTATCTAAAAGCAGGTAGGGATACTACCCACTTGGAGATTTTATTTAAAGGTATTCACAAGATTTTGGTAAGAAGGTTTATGAGTACTATGGTAAATATTAATGACACATTTTACGATACCCTGCAAAAACGTTTGTTTTCACTCACAAATCTCCTCAAACTTTTGGTACGAGCTGTTCCAGTTACCAGCAACTGGATACCGTTTGTGGTGTTCAGCAAATAAAGCATTTGATTAAATACTCTCATAAAAACTACACTGAACAGGTCAAGCCGAAATTCCAGAGAGAGACGGGATGGAAAACGTGACACGCAAAAACAATCAGTGATGTCAGTTTTCACAAGTGCCGGGGAGAATAAGTGAAGCTGACAGAGGAGGTGCTATCAAGCGCTTTCATCTCTGATTCCATCGCCTCAGACCTTTTTCATGGTGTGGAAAAAGTCGCTGCACTGGAAAGAATCAGACAAAGAAAATCAAAAATGGCGAGGCTTAAATGCAAAGAGGGAGATACATTAACTTCACTTTTTTTTTGCAAAAATTGTAGGTACATTTTAGGTCATTGAACATGCAACATCTTTTTTTTGTCCACACTGTCTTTCTGCTGCAGAAGTTTTCTTTTTTTCTAATTATATGTTTTACCCATTATCCCCCCTTGTGCCCACAGCACAGGCTTCTTGTCCTAATTTAAAGTGTCAGGAATATAAAGTTTTCTGTAGACTTCTCAGTGGTCCCAGGTGTGCTCCTATAAGTCTCCAGTGCTTTCACAACTGCTCATGACAGCAGCTGGAGTATTTCTCCAAAAGATGAATGGTGGATCCCTTTCAGAAGGAAACCTCGCACTGAGTTCTGAATAAAAAATAAGCACTGCTACCTGTAATTCTTGAAACAAGGCGTTCTATTTCACAAATATGCACACGGCACGACACTAATGTACATTTAACAAGGAATAATGTCATCATTTGGAAATCAATCCAGCCTGCAAAGCAGCACGAGATGTCCGGGGAGGTTGTAAAAAGATGTGACATGAGCACTCGAGCATAGAGTTGTGACTTCAGACTTTCTGTTTCCAGACAGCAGGCAGTTTGTTTGCTTATCTTTAAGGAGAAAAGCTAAGATAAGAGAATTCGAGGAGGGAAAAGTCCTATAACTGATCACTTGGTCTGCTCGGCTTTTGAAGGGAAAATAAATCTCCACACAACAGCAGTCCACACCCTTGATAGGCCCTTTGTAAATCAATATAATGTCGATTTGTTTAACATACTAGACTGATAGGCTCCACTTTGGGCTGCGCGCTGAAAGCTTAATCTTGAATTGGCACTTTGAGATCTGCACAAATCAACCTGAAAAAGGGATTTTGAGGTCGCTCCTTAACCAACTTTTGCTTCTTTTATGACTCTTTAGGAGCTTGCGCCCACTTGACACAGCTCAGCGTATTTTGATGTAGATGCTATTGTTAAGGAGGCAAAAGTAGATTCCAGAGTTTTCCAGCAGCCTTCTAGGACATGTGGTGCTGGTTAGAGGGATTAAGCTCTTGTGGAGCAACAAGCAGGAGGGGGAGGTGGGAAGTATAGAAGAAGAAGAAAAAGGAAATATTTTCAGGATTCGATTCAAAGTCATCACTGCCATAAGGTCTCTCTGGGCTAAATTAAGCAGGTCTTCATCTCTCTAAAGGTGGCTTGCAGCCTTGCACACAGTTTTCATTTGGGACTTGGTTTTGCTTCAAAAAGACTACATTTGGAAAAGCAGTGGTGTATTGTATGCAGTGTTCCATCCATGACTGAAAAAACCTCCTCCATCTGCTTTCTGGTGTTATTTCTAATTATGCCGCAGAAGTTCCATGCTTCCCTTTTACTTCCCATTCGTTCGATAACTACCCACAATGCGCCAGTTACTCAAGTCAGACATTTTGAAGGACACAACAGGCATGCAAGTAGGGATTCAATCTGTTTAGAATGTCAGTATAGGAAGGACATACCTGTCATTGTGGTGTCCTTGACTGTGTATCCTTTTAATGTGAAGCCAAACATAAGGAGCAAAGATGTGAGTGAAAAGCTGAGGACATGGTCGCTGAACCTTAACAATAGTTTGTGCAAATGTTGACATCACTGGGTAAAAAGTACTTTCTGAGAAACAGCTCTGCTTGCCCTTACAGGAAAACCCTTTTTATGTTTCACAGACGATGTTTTTATCATTATAGTTTAATGCTTTACATCTAAAGACGAGGCTGCTATCAGGAGTTTACAGGTACTGAGATCAGTAGGTGTGTTTGCCCAAGAACTGCAGATGGAAAAGTAGCTAGTAGCTAAATCTGGTAGAAAGCATCTGTTCACTCCTCCTTTTTTTTTTTAACAAGAAAACTTCCATCCGTTCACTAGTTTCAGTTTCTCCAGTCTAAGCATTTTCTGCTTTTCTCTGTTTTTCATCTGTGGGTTTGGGACTGATATCCAGACATTTTAATGGACCCAGCGATTTATCAAGAAAATAATTTATTTGCAATAATTATTATTTGCAGAGATATTTGAGAGAAATGGTTTTTTTGCCCATAGCTTCTGGTTATTTCCTTTAAATGAACTGTACGTTTTAAAATGGAAATAGAAACACAATTCCCCTCGAAGAACCACAAGTCATAAAACTCTCTAAAATCTTCCTTAAATTTTCATCCCTCCTTGATTTAATGTGCATGTTGTTTTAAAGCCTCTCACACAGCGCCAGGTCTGTTATTCATGTGGAGATCACAAAATCGGAATCAAACTGAACACGTGTAATTTTAAAGACATACCAAGGACATAACTTCATAGTCTTCACTGCCAGTAATGAGACAGTCTATTGGGTAGGTCAGCATTATACTGTTCTCAATACTGTTATCGTGAAACTACAACTTTATGGTCACAAACATTGGCCTGTCAGATGGCACCCCAGCCTTTGAATATCAGTCATTTTGCTGTATGACATCACCATATTCACGCGGTAGCCACTTCCCTCTGATCTCGCACTCATGTTTAGGAAGCCAAATATGTCATAATGTTGTCCTACTGTGTTCCAGATTTGGAGTTTTCTCTATCCACATTCTTTTTTGTTGCTAACAATATGAGACGTAATTAAATTAAAAAGGGTTGGAGCTTTCCACCCTCAGCTTGGAATCACAGAAAAATGGCCGCCATGTGAGTCTGGTGCATGAAGGAATTGGGTGGCCCAAATTCAGCAAATTCTAAAAACAAATTTTAGCGACTGTTCTGTTTATAGTTGCTGAAGCAGTAAAGCCATTGTGATTGAAAGGACTTGCCATGCAAAATATTTTCTAAAATAAAGTACACATGTCTATAATCTCTACAGTGATGCCTTTGAATACCGTGTTATGCTAACCTGTAGCTACATGGGCCATTCTTAAGACAATAAGAACCAGGTTATCCAGGAAAAAAATCCTCCCTTAAAGATAGAGGCACCTTAATTGTATGTCAACAGCAGTGTTTTATACTGCAAAGCTTTTTCAAAGATCCTATAAGTAAAACAGAAACTTTGAACAGAAGCTCCAACATGTAGCTTCTCTGGACTTTGATCAGCCAAGATATTAGTAAATGCTGAGCAAGTAGCAGCTATTCTTCAGGTAGCTAAGAGTGCTAAACTGCAGAGTGAATGTGGGAATTGAAAGGATAAATGCTTTATTGTTTGTAGTCCGAGACATGAATGAAAGCGCCCAAACATTCATCTCTTTGTATTTGTGCCTGGATGCTCGTCTTCAATGGGCTTCCTGTTGATATTGAACATGTGCGGATCCTTTTCTGAGTAGAAAATGAGGCAGCTTAGATGTAATATGAGGATGAATACCTTTAGATTAAGTTATTCTCTTTAAGTTTATATTATTTTATATTCTTAATATTAATTTTTGAGCAGTTTGAGGCCATAAAAAGTAGAAAGTAAAGAGCCAGAACCAAGACTTCCTCGAGGGCTCTTGACTTTGTTAAAACTCTCCTTTTCAGCCAGTAGCTGCTGAGTGCTCTCAGATGTAGCCAAGCTAATTAGCGCTGGGGCGAGTGGCATATGCTCTCACATACCTAGTGGGTCATAAAGATGTTTACCAAACCCTACTGAGGATCGCTAACAAAGGCTTTTAAAGGCAAGCGGGAGGAAAAAGCTTTTTCTTGGTTGGCCGGGATAATGAAAGTTGTTCATTGAGGTTTTTGTTATAAGTGCAGAAGGAATGCACTATAATGGAGCTGCAACTGTGTGAGGCATTTCTGTAAATGTGAGAACTGGGATTTTAACAGGCTCATTTTGTAAATGGAAAAGTTTAGAGCCTCAGTTAGTTGGTGATCACCTTGTTTCTGCAGAAACTAATACCAATATGGAAAGATGGAGTTCATTCTGAGATCTTTATTCTGGTTCTTTTTGTGAAGCCAAGCATCTGTTGGTGCTTTGGCCACAAGGAGAAGTTGGCCACGATCAAACTACACTTTTTTACAAACGTTTCAACCTGCATGTGTCACTGAATACAGGCCCACAAACCTTTTATGCTCATCAGGGGACCAACACCAGCTAAGGTTTAGCCAATTATACTGCATCAACATGATTAAAGGGAGGAAAGTTGCTGTTGCAGAGGCCTTGCGGGGCATAAGATCCGTCTCCCCTCGAACCCAGCTGAGACTGATGAGCCAAATAGCACCATTTACCACAGATCCTGAGCCAGAGAAAAATGTTGGCCAACTTGAGGTGTCATTGCAGCCAAGCGTAAAGGTGTTGATGAACTGCTGTGGGTGCTGAGATATTTCTGTATCTCGTGAAGCCGGTATGGAATGAGCTGACTCACGGCTTGTCTTTTTTTTATTTATTTTTTTATTTTAGTCACAAAGCAGTCATGCTGTTTTTCAGACAAGGTCCAGTGGAGGAGGATGAGGGTCCAACATGGTGTCCAAGTTCCCTGTGGTAAACAGCAGGTTGAAAAAAAGAAAGTGTTCTTCCAGACACATCTATCACCGAGTCAATCTTAGTTAGAAATGTGGCGCTTTTTTTTCTCTGTCAAACATATAAAGCCTCTCCAGCTATTGGCCTATTTTGGTAATAAAGTCTCAAAGTGTTGGAAACAGAACTCGTTTTTACAGTCGCTGAACCAAACAAAGAGAGATCAACATAAAAACATCAAACCATAAAAGTTTTTCGTGCTCCCATTGGAGATTCATGTTCATGTTGAGGCTCAATGACATGAGGGAACAGAGAAAATCGTTTTTCATGCAATGCTGACGAATAAAACAAGGGATTGATTGTGATTCTGGTCTGCCCAGAGTGTTTTTTATGTCATCTGACATGAGCTCTTTTTGTTCTTTTCTCTCTTCTCTCCACACTCTGTCTCTCTTCTCATTTAAAGGGACCTGAGGGGCCAGAAGGGCAAAAGGTAAGTCCATTGTTCCAATGACAATTCTTTTACTTTTCTCTTCGGTTAAATAAATTGAGATTCCTCGACTTGGTCAGATCAGAGGATGGCATCAAAGGTCTATTTCAGATTGAGAAGGTGGTTCTCCGTCCCTCTGAATGAAAGTAGTGGGGTTTATTGCAAAGTAGATCAACACTTGAAGGGAAGTTGTTTGGCTGTTTCAAATAGAAAAAGAATTGGAAGCAGTCAGCAGCAGTTCTAACAACTTGAAGGTTAGTTAGAATAAACAATAAAGATATAAAGCTCATCAAATATGCACAATAAGTACAACAGAAGAGCTATATACTCTGTGTGGTGATGGTCAAGTGCAAGAAGAGACAATGTGCCTTGTAAACACAGTAATCCAGAGTGTGGTACTGTATTTAAAGTCTTTTTATTGTTATGTTAACTGATATGACTATGAGGCTCCACTCTCCTCTGTTGTACCCTTTAGTTTCCACATGCTAATTTAAACCCAAAGCGGTTTTTGTTTCAGCAGTAGGATAATGTTTTGGATTTGATAGTAACTGTGCCCATGTGGTAAAAATGTCTGTAAAAAAGCACTCTGGGTGTTGAGCCAGTTTACTTTGAGATTAGTGACACAGGGCGACAGTCGGGGCGAGTAAACAGACAAAGGGGAGAGTTAAGGCTCAAACAACACGAGGGGAAAAGACAACGAGTGACAGAGAGCAGAGAACCTGGAGCTCAGCTCAGCGATGCCGACAGTGGCTCTCTGCTGGCGCTGATGTGGGGAACAGATGTCGGCCATATCCAGCCATCAGGTAGCTGCCAGTGTTTGTTCAGTGTAACCCAATCAGACACTTCCTGTCTGCGCTGTCATCTGTTGGCGTGGCCTCCCGTCGGCAGATGAGGAGGGGAGGGTGTGTGTGTGCGCGGAGGGGTCAATGATGACACATCGCCGTGTTAATGACTCATAAGCCAGGCCCCGAGGCTGCTCAATTAGATCCACTGCTGGTTTAGAAGAGAGGCTGCATGCAACACTTATTCCTGTTTCATCACCTTGGTGATTGATTTGGTGTCGTCACATGACAGAAAAAAAAAAGTGTGAACCACATATTTGAATCTTTCCTATCCTTAAGATAATATATTGTAAGACATTGTGCTTTGTATAAAGTCATATTTCGGAAACATTAGAAAAAAACCTTTTCATTATTTTAATGGACCACATGTTGATGTACAACTATTTCATACATCTCTAAAAGTGACCATGGTAACAGTAAGTCATTTTTATTACAAGGACACACAATAGCCAATGCAAGCAAACCACCGTGCAAAGAGAGTAAGAGTTCATTAAAGTTAATACAACCTCCGGGTCTAAATCATCCAAAGAGAACACACAAACATAAGAGCGATATTTCTTTTACATCAAGCCATTTCTCTTTTCAACTTTCTATTCCCTCACTTTAAAACTCAACAGAAATAATTCCCCACTCACGGTATTACCCTCCGACTGTTCCCTCTATAACTTGGCCGATCTTAAAATGTGACATGCAATATTTATTCTGGCCTGGTTTTGTAGGACCAGCACACACACACACACACACACACACACACACACACACACACACACACACACACACACACACACACACTTCCACACTTAAACACACACACACAAAGAGTGTACATGCTAAAATAGGGACTGGAACAATAGACAGGCCGGCTCAGGGCGCTTCTGTGAGATGTTTAATGACTAATTGTGTTTATCATTTTTAGGGTTCACTCGGGCCTCCTGGCAACCCTGGTGTTGATGGACTAAAGGTGAGGGTATTCAAATAATAAATAAACTATACCAACTGATCATTTTCTGGGTGTGTACTAATTAACTAAACTAGTTTTCACAATTATGGGGGATGCTGAATAGCGATCCCTTTTTTTTTTTTATGTATTCTCTCTCTGGTGAGACTTTTTGTTTTTTGACAGAAAAAATGTAGAAAAGCCAGAATTAATTTAGAGAGGATTTGCAAGGTTCATAAGACAATAAACCACCCTTTATATGGGAACTTTATTGATGTCTATGTTTTTGTATACTTTAATCATACTTGTTTATACTAAGCCAGACATTTCAGTTAAACTGAACAACCCTTGATGCATCCTGACTACTGTACAGCATTATGACTGACAAAATACTGCTCATGAAAATGTTCTTCCATCCATCCACACCTGAAAGCAGTTTATCTTCAAAAGGCTCACTCCAACATACTCAAAGTTTTCATTAGTCTTTGTGGCCATGTGTTGCACTTTTCATATTAGAAAAGTTCTGCCATGCATTCTGACAATTTCAAAAACGCTCCCTTATTTGGGAGAAAACCCCTGGGCAGCGTCTCTGAGCCTTAACCACATAAAGTACCCAGCTGCCTGTGAATCTGCTCGCACTCCGGGGCTCAGCTCTGCATTTAATTCTCAAAGCGAATAAAGAAGACACAGTGCAGGTGTTTGACAATAGAGGGAACATTGGAAAAGCATCTTTATTTTCAGAACAAGTCATGTCAATGGCGAGAATGAATGGTGGGATGATTGGAGAGGCGCCTTCTTTTGAAATCTCAAGCACGTATTTATATATTTATAAAAGCAAAGAGGCACGCATGGCTGTAATGGGAACCAGGGTGAAGAAGTTTGATTTGGGAGTGAAAGCCATACTGACTCTCGAGACTGCAAATGCTGAAGGTCTAATTCCATACTTGTGTAAGGAGCTGGGTTTGCCAGCACCCATGAAATAGAACTCTAGTGCTGTGCAGTGCAGTTATAAAACCGAATCTGTTACGGTATGTAGCTGTCGCTCATGCAGAAAGTTTGAAGTCTGAAGCGGTACAGGCTGCTCTGCCCGCAGTGGCAGGTTGACTGGCAGACATCTTATTGATCTGACAGAGAGATCCACTCAGAGGGGATGAGCACTAATGCAAACCTTATCTGCTCCGGTTTACGAGTTTTTAATCAGGCTCCATCATCATTAAGGTAATATATATCATCATTATGTCAATGACTCCCATATGTGGGCTGATAGATGATACCAGATTCCATTATTTATGACGAGTTTTACCATTTGTGTGAAGCTAAAAGGATACTCCCTCTTCACGTCATGGATCAGACACAGTGATATTCCCACAATGCTTTGTAAATCACTGAAGAAGAATAAACCAAAATGAAATAGAAGTGCATAGAATCAGGTGTGTGTCCACTGGCTGGCCTTGGGGGGGACATAGGGCCCCTTCAGATCTGCCCGGTTAGAGGCAGGATTTATGTTCAGACCAGCTTATTATGTGTAGCATTTAGTGTGGCAAATTTTTTTCTTTTACTTTATGTCTGTTTTTAGTTCTTAAAGAATTAAGCATGACTGGAATATGACATCTGTATTATACATTTATGTAGGGAGAAAAAAGTAGCTGAGACAGAGCTAAGAAACATTGTTATAACGTGCATATTGATGGTACTATTGGAGACATTCATCCTACAGCAGTGTAAGAAAAGGATTTGCCATTATACATCAACATCACCAGAGGGGCATGTGGATCATAAGTCCATTTCTTGCAGCATGGTGAAAGACGCTATCCTGTTCCCATGATCGGTATCCAACTTCTTCTTTATCAACTTTTCAACAAATGCACAACACCTGTGCAGCCATGGCACAACCCTAACCTCTGCAAAGTTCAGAGAGGTTATCTCTGTTTTTCGGGAAAAAAAACGTGACCCTTTTTGTAACTCCTGACCTGAAATCAGAGTTCATGTTGCAGAAACAGCACACTGAATTCCGCCACTGTGCGTGTGTGTGTGTGTGTGTGTGTGTGTGTGTATTTGTGTGTGTTGTGCTGTCCATAGGGGGATGTTGGCATCCCAGGATTTGACGGTGTTCCCGGAGCCAAGGTCTGCTGCACACATATTCTGTGTGCTCTTATTTTTTGTGCAATCATGCAGATCATATTTTTTTTATTTTTTTGTTGTCATCATTACTCGTTTCTTTCCCATCAACTAAAAAAAATGCCCTTTTTTTTTGTAACTTTTTGACCTTTTTTTTTAAACGTTTTATCTGTTTTTTTTGTTTCCTCTGTTTACTTCATATTTGTATCATGCTTTGTTAATTCTATCCTTTGATATCATGTCTGCATGTTTTGTATTTGCCAATATATCACTAAGAACAATTTACTTTCTTAGCATACATCAATTTGTGTAGATAAATGCCATACTAGAGCCTTAATATATATATTTTAAAGGAATTAAATACTGATGTAGTATATGTGGTAATAGGATTCTAGTTAATTTTGACTTCTCTCTGCTATGAAAACGTTTAAGTTTAGAAAAACGTCTTATAATCTGATACTTGGTGGCCTTTCTGTCTGTCTGGGGACAAGCAGCCATAACATAAGGGAATCTCTATGATCTAACATGAATTTAACCCCAGATACAATCTGACCCTCAGTGGCTGCAATAACTCCACTCGAGCCTTTCTGTTTTTTAACACCCTTGCTTTCTCTCCCAACAGGGGGAATTGGGCGAGCGAGGTGAAAAGGTAAAGCACTAATTCAGATCCCCAAACATTATTGTTCACATCATTCTTGACACCCTGCCATGTGTTGGAGCGGCCGTCGTGCTAAAGTTACGACTGACTTTGCTGTACTTTACACAACGCCAGCTTGTTCCTACAAAGCCGACTCCCTTCTGAGATTTGGCCACCAGCGAGCCAGTGAGTCACATTTTGAACCTAATTTTGGGACGCGAACAAAAATATGAACCCGAACAACTGCGTCCTTGAGGAAAGGCAGCCTTGTTCTCCTAATTCAAATGGTGCCCTTGTTCCTTGTTGTTGGACATCAGCGGGTGGGAGGTGTGAACACTGACCGAGTCGAGGGCGACACAAGCTGGGGAGGGTGGGAGGTGATGACTCAGTGTTCTTCATCAACCACTAAACTGGCCACAGGCTGCTGTTCTCAGCTGCTGTTTAGAATGTTTTCTTTAATCACTTATTGCCTACAACACACACCTGATGTGTTAGAAAGATGAGGCTGTGTAGCAATATAGCTAACCTAGCAGACATCGCTCGCAGCAGCAGAGTAGCCCATTTTCTAGAACTTCCTTTCTCATCTTTGATATGCAATCCTAGGAGCTGCTCCTCTTTCCGAGCTTCACCGTGTAAAGGTCTTATCATTTCTCCATATTAAATCACGTGGATTCATAAATAGGGAAATGATCAGTTGCTGGCCAAAGTTAGCAATGACATTCACTCAAAGTGAACTTTTATTTCTACAGGAGCCAGATATGTCGACATAAATAGTTGTTTTTGGCTTTTTGTGCTAAATAAAGAGCCAGCAGGCAAATTCAAGAAACAATGGGCGCCTTGAATAGACGAAAACTGATGGAGGACCCAAAAGCCTTTTTTACAATAGTTATTTTCTGAGGTTCTGACATCATGTTTTCCCTTCAAGGACACAACCCTTACTTTAAATTCTTGGACTTCCTATTCAGCTTCAAACGAGAGATATTTATGAACTTAGGTTCTTTGTAAAAAATTACATGGATTCATAGCAGTGCAATAAAACGTATCTAATGAAAGTCTATGGAACACGAGAGGCTTGTCGGGCTCTGAGAAGGCTCAAAGGTGCATTAAGTCAAGGCAATACACTGTGCTATTGTAAAAATGTTGTGGTGGATTGTTACACCATACGACTTCCAATGCACGACCAAACTTAGGATTTATGTGCTCACTCTGTGCGGTTGGATTGCCGGACACGACCTGAGTGTTCACACTGTAAGAGAATCTGCCAACGCTTCTCTTGTTCAAATCTATCAAGATAGAAGGGCAAAGACACATCCAGCAGCGTGCTGTTGCCATGGTGCTTTCAAATGCTGTCCGCCTGTTCGCCCAGACGCAATCAGGAAATAATAAAGCTCTGAAGTGAGGGAATCAGATTAATGCTGTGCTCTAACTGTGTGAGTGTATGACCACAGTTTCAAATATCCCAGAAATTCATCCGACTGGTCAGGAGCAGATGATCGGGGAATGATCGGCAGTCGTGCTACATGCATACACTGCACCACTAACGACCCGCTGAAATTCGGCCAAATCGTGCGACCCAAAAATCGGGCGTGAAATTCGACGGTGTATGCCCAGCAAGCTTCACGCTAATGTCAGAATGCTAACATTCTTGGAATGACGGCGCTAATATGCATATTAATCTCCGCATCTTTTGCATTATAAGCCTTTTAGCATAAACTGACAATGTTCAGACGGGTTGCTAGTTCAAATCCTGTCCTTCCTGAGCACTGCCGAGATTCCCGTGAGCGAGACACTGCTCGGTTGCTCTTTTGTGTGCAGCCCCTCACTCTGACATCTCTCCATTAGTTCATGTCCATACAGGATCTTTTCATACTTGCATACTGCATATCGGACATATGTGTGTGCAGTATGTCTCAACAACTGAGTAAAAGAAAATTGAATTTCCCCATGGAAGTAAATACCTTTATTTTTATTCTTCACTTCTTTGCCATCCATAGTTCCGTGCCTCAGCCCTGACATTCAATCTGTGTCATGGAGCTAGGAAGAGAAAGTTGTAAATTTTAAAAGTAAAGTTCGTCTCAGCTGATGCCAGGAGTTTAAAGCACCCACAAAACTCCCCACGGAGTGCATTACATCACCTGAAATCATGAATATTTGAACCATGTGTGACGACTCAGTTGGTGACCAAAGTGAATTTATGTACAGTAATGGTCCTGTGCTACACTGTGCTTCTCCAAGCGTCCCTTATGTTATTTTACAGGCAGTCAATCACAGAAAAAGAAGCCATACTGTGTGTTATGCTTTTTTTTAAACATATGGCAATCATGTTTTAGATGTCTGTGTAAGCGTTGACACATTCTTGCGATCTATGGACTGAATATGAGCCCTTTCATCACAGGGCGATATGGGTGAAGATGGGCCGAAAGGTGATTTGGGAGAGAAGGTGAGTACCTTTCATATTCTTTCTTTATGTCTTTGAACTTGCACTGAGAAACAGCAGGTTGTAGCTGGAAGACATTAAAATAAAAGTTATGTTGGCCATCTGATAGGAGGGAAAGGTGTAGAGGAGTAGGTCAAGTGCCATCAGCTGTAGTCAAGGCTGCACAACACAGTCGTCCTGGCACTTGGTGCATCCTTTAGGCTTAATGTGGTCTTAATTGCGATGCTATGCTGATGCTACATTTTCTGGTCGGGTGGGCTCCAGTGTTAATTTGGGACCATTTATCATCGGGACAGCTTGTCAAGTTGGAATCTATTTCCAACAAGAGGCAGAAAAAGAACTCTGCTGGTTAGATTGTTTGGAGAGAAAAAAGGAATAGATTTCTCTCAAGTCTTTTGTTTTCTGGAAAAAATGATTTGTTTTGTGTCAGTTTACTGCCATCTTGTCCAGAGGCAGATTTTGCATCCTCTCCAGGACTTGTCATCTGCTTTTGCATTATGAAAATGGGACACAGTTTAATTCGTATTAGATGACCTCATGACAACTTTTGGGCTTGAAAGTTATTGTAGAGTGTTTTAGAAACAAAACTATTAGGGATTTGAGACAACGGTTCTTTGAAAATGTTGACTCAGCCCATTCAAAAATGTCTCCCACTTCTGGGAAAAGATAAAGATTCTTCCCAAAGTTGCCAACAAACCGTGATATAGTTGCTAGGAACAAACAACAGAAACTAAACACTGGTTTATAAAAACAACAAAGGCGCTGGAAATACTGTCTCAGGCTCTAAAAAAACAAAACATAAGTGACAGAAGCAGCAACTGAGCAGAAGCAGTGTACTCACAATGTCGCTGCCAGTTTATTGCTGCTCAGCACAGAACAACTTTGATAATTTCTCACTTTATGGGTACTCTGGTTTTTTTTAAATGACTGCCGAACATAGCTTGCCAAGAAAGACAGTTTGACGGAAACAGATGCAGGAGATCATGATCTGTGGAGAATGAGTGAACAAAAACGAGAGCGGAGGGCGATAAAACTCTGCGGCTCGAGCACTGCTTTGATCTGTTCTACCTTAGTGTCATAAAAGTGGGAAAAAATGGATTTTGGCTGCAGGAGCTAAAACGAAAGAGGGAAATTGAGTACCAAGGGAATTCAGAGTTCTGTAGCCAGTCACCTGCCATTCATTCTTCACCAACATATGCATGTTTCACACAATAAAAAGAGACAGCAGGTTGTGTAAACCTGGAAAAAGTGAGGATTTTACATTATTATGCATAGGCTGAAACCCATATGAAGGACTTTGTACATATGGCTGATATTATAGTTGTCCAATTGAAATATAGCGTACATCCAAATGATTATGCATGCTCATATAGATACAGAGGATCAATTTCTCTTCCCTTGCATTTTCGTTTCAATGGTGGAAGAGGAAAGTGAATAGAGGAGGGGAGGGGGGAGCATCCGATGTCTTCCGCGCTGAAGATGCCAAAGTTAACAATAAACAGCACGCACTGCAGCGAAAAATGTGGTAACACAGGGTGAGAGGGGAGGCAGTGAAAGGTTTCGGTTTGGTGAGCAGAGAGACCTCAGGGAGGTCGAGCAGACCGGGGAGAGAAATGGCAGCGCTAGCGGGCAGACACGACTTCGTCTGATTCTAGGGATTGTTTTGACTGCGGGGGATCTGCAGAGTGTGAGAGAGACAGAATGACAAGACGGATACACTCGATTACAGGCTGGCTCACTCCAAGACATGAGTTTAAATGCACACATTTAAAACCCACTGCCACAGAAACATTCTCAAAGACACAATCTGTAGCTCTCTGCCACATTATGTCAAAAGTGTGAGGTCTAAAAAAAATCAGTAGTACCAAATGTAAAGATTCTCAAGTTCAAGATTTGATCTGGTAAAAGTACTTAGGTTTGAAACTTCAGTTTATCATGCTGATAGCACATGTGCCATTTTATACTTTTTACTTATTATTTTATTTTTTATGTCAAGAATTAGATGACAAGATTGACACTGTTGTCATTTAGATAGCAGCTATTTAACTTAGCTTAGCTTATGGTGCTTTAACTAGACTTAGCTCAGCTCAGCTTAGTTTAGTACAAAGAGACCACCATGTCAGCTCTGTGCAAATGTCTCAAAACACACTGCACATGTCTAAAGTTGAGGCATTGTATCCTGTTTATTTAACGTGCACATAAACAACACTGTTAAAATGATGATTTGCCATTTAACATGTGGTTATGTGTCCAACTATTTCTTGGCTAGCACCAGTAGCTTCCGCTGATTGCCTGGCAACAAGCCCTGGGCAAGACATAGCCTGGCACATAACTCTCTGAAAATAGCAACAATCACATTGTACAGGTTAAGTACACAAAATAGATGACTTAGTTAGAGAGTTTGAGTCAAGTTTTTTAGAATGTGCACCACCACTGCATTATTACTTATATTCTCTGTGGTGCTGTATTTGACAGGGAACACAAGTCAAAATCTGGATAGCACCATTTTTTAGATAGACAGATGACTTAATAAAGCTTTGTTCAAACTGTGTTAACGTACTGTCATACAGAAAACCAAGGCATAAAATGAATGTGTTGGATCATGACATAGACAAAGTTACATGTTATATGAGGTTGTGTGAGGTATATGTGTAAAATGTATTACGTTGCACGGTGCACCATTCTTCATAGTATACATTTATGTACCACTCTACCAGCAGTGCTGCGTTCATTTGCCATCATCAGTGTTTCCACCAGTCTCTGCATGTCCATCTCCAGCCTCATTTAAAATAAATCATTACCACAGTTAAAAGCTTTCGTTCTGAACCATTTACCTCAGATGCATTTCGTCTAAGTATTTAACTAGGTGTGAAATGAACAGTGACTCTTCCTGTTGAAAAAGTCGGACCTTAGAGATAGGAAAACTCTGAAGGTTTTAAAGCAAATGAACCCAAGCAAACTGTTCAAATGGGGTTTTTGGGAACCACCAGGCTGTAAGCACTTGGCTCCGCTCGCTGAGGCACAGTGGTTGGTATAATTTTTTGAATCCTGAGATCCGGTCCAAGCTCTTGTGAACTGGCTTAGTTTCAACAGTTGGCAGGGCCTTTCTGCCCTTGGAGCCAATCATAAAATGTGTTGCCTCACACAGTATATTCTCACTCAGTGACTGCTGTAGATATTCAGCTGTGGCCGCTTAATCTGGTCATTCTTACTAATGATCGTAATATGAAATAGGAGTCATGTTTTGAGGGCTGTGGTGACATTTAATGGTTACATTTGTCACAACTGTGTCTCGGCCGATTAATCCTCCCCATCTCATTGGATCCCGCTAAGCAAACAGCTGGAAAATAGCCTGATTTACTAAGTATACATTATGAGAATTTCATGTTATTATCTTTAAATGGCAATATGCAGCGGGTGCCTCTAATGAAGTGGAGTTGTGGTGACAGCTCTCCGTCCTGCTCGGCTCTGCGGTTAAATCACAGGCTGTGGCCTCAGGGTAATTGGCCCAATTGGGACGTTTCAGCACTCAGTGGCACACCTCGGCTAGTTCACCTCCCAACTTTTCCATCTCGTACCACTTCATTTGGAATAGATTAACATGTGAAAACTCTCACTTGGTTCTCGGTCCTGCTGATGCTCGCGTTAGGCCTGTCGTGACAGAAAAGTTAACTGGGTTTATCAGTTCGTCAGCAGGGGAGTGAGGTGTTAATTGCTTGTATTGCATCCCTGACACTTACTTACACGTGGGTAATTGTTGCTTTTTGATTAAAAGTGTGTGAACCAGCCTGTGAATTCTAATTCTAAACAATTAGCTTCTCATGGTCTCATCCTGCTGAGTTTAATAATGGGAAAAACTCAACCATGCTTCACAAAATTCCAAAGCTTGATTACGAGCTTCACAAGGTGAGATCTCTTGTACTTTCTTTTTTTTTATATATATATAAGAAATTAATTACAGATGTGATACATTCTTTAGCATCAACCCTGCCAAAAAGCAACAGGTGTGAAACCAACTCTGACTTTGATGTTTGTTTTGTTCAAGCAAATATTCAATCAAGGCACAAAAAAGTCAGAATAATGGGCCTCTGCATTAAGTTTCTTGTTTTGTTAAATGTTTTAGGTCAAACAAAATATGACGTCCATGATTTTTGATCAAAAGAACTTTTATTTGATCGTATTAATTCGTTTGAAAGTCTTTAATTGTTTATTAGGTAACATGAGGAGCCTGTTTACACAGCGGACTATAAAAGTGCCTGCTCTTACATCTTCTTCACACTCACATATAAAACATACAGGGAAAAGTGATCATAAAAAAATGGTCATCATACGTTTCAAGATAGCGGATTGAGGCACCCTCCAGCATGCAAACAAATCCCAGCTGTAAACAGTAACACAGTTTATTGTCAGCAAAAAGAAAATGTGGCAATTAAACGTGCCTTGTGTGCTATGCATCGTAATGACTCCCATAAAAAGCTGAGGGCGAGAAGCATTCCTTCAGCAACTTCTGAGCGTGAGGCGTATGTGTAGTCTAACCACAGTGTCCACACCAGAGCTAAAGACGCAGCCGTCTTCACCACGCTCTCTTTTCCCACCAACCGTCCATAATTACCCTCATTGGCCCCTTGTTTTATGTATGTTTTCACTGTATACTGCAGAAGTAATGCAGTGAAAGGGCCCGGGCTCTGGATGTCTGGATGACTTTTTTCTGGGAAAAGCGATAAGGGACTCCTTCTTGTTTAATACTTTACCTTAATACAACCAGAAAGGGATTTAAATTGTTGCAGTTTATCTATCAAGACCCTTTACCCCTACACTGTTTCTTCTATATAGTGTTAGATTTCATGTCAGCACCACTATGCAGCTGCACTCTGACAGTCTAAAAACAATGAAAGAATTCCCAGCACTGTAGTTATAAAAATGCTGTCTCAAACTTTAGCAAGAAGGTACATTCAGTCTGAGAACTGCATAGAAAGGCAGACAATCTTTTTGAGTAATTGGATTCCACACAAAGCTCAGTAAATGTTGCAATTAGGAAATAACAACCTGCATTGTCTGGTAAAAAATAGGCATCTTTTATATATTTTTTTACTTTAATTGCAGAGAAATGTTTTCTCCTTTTGTGTCCACACCAGCATTGTGTCTTGTAATAACCTATTTTTGACAGTTTACATGTTGTGCCTCGCTTTCATTATTTTCTTATTACTTTCTTTCTCAGGGAGATGCTGGCTCCTCTGCTGCAGGCATCAAGGTAAGAGCTAGTGCTAACGCCAACGCCGAAGGGTTTCCAATATCTGTTTCTTAATCGATATACAGAGTCAACTGCTATAGCTGTTTCTTTAAGTTTAAACTAACTAAGTTGAGATTTACAAATTCATCAAAGAAGTTCAAGTAATTGGTTACACAAAGTAACTCCTAGCTAACGTAACCAACTCCAGAACTATCGTTAGCTGGCTAATGTGTGACCCATTTGGAGTGAAAAGTAACTGTCAGTTTAACAACATCATACTTTATCTAATGCTGTATTTTAGTTCTGTTTCTTTTGTGAAATGAAATATTCAAATAAAACTTGTTATACCTAAATAAAACAACAACTTCATACCGAATATCTTAGCTTAAATGAACAATTAGCATCATCAAGGCTAAGTTACTAAAGCTTCATAATTACATTGAAACTGGACAGAAGTTCTATCAACTCAAAGTTAGAAATACATACTTAAACACCTAATGCAACTCATCAATAAATAGAGGTGTTGAAATGAAATCTGAACATATTTTCTAGGGTGAACCAGGGGAGGCTGGACGAAGTGGATATAAGGTAATCTTTGTATTTTGCTACATATTTTATCTTACATAAGTGGTAGATAGACAGTAGTGTAGCACATTAGTGACAGAAATGTTTGTTTAGCTATAATAATATAGAAATGACTGTATTTTGTTGATGTATGACAATGTTTATAATGGTCTGAGTATTGAGAAGTGACTATTGGACTTGAAGGATTAATTCACAGAAAACTCCTAGGATTAGTATCTGGCTGAACATGTAGTATTTCTTTATTTTTCATCAGTGTGATTGCACAAATTCTAACTAGTTTGTTTGAAAAGAAGAAGCCAAGACTGTTGTGCAAGATGAAATAGTGTGAGTTGGAGCACCAGCAGTGCGAACTCATTTTTACTCCATAGTAAAAAGAAACAAGGATGGTTTTACGTCGGAGGCTCACTGAGCAGAGCCTGACTCTTTAACTTGAGCTTCATTACATCACAGTGTTCAGCCTCTGTTAATATTTACTTTGGCTCAACACTCGCTATGAGCCAGTGTTACCCAGGAATCAAACTAACACCTCTGGATAAAATCTTTTGGATGTTTTTTTGGCTCTTTCTTTTGTGAGCCGTACTCCAGAGAGTCAAAACCAGCCGGTCATCCCATTAATTTTCTTTGCAGGAGTCCAACTACACCATTTTTTGAACAATATTTTTCTTGGTATATGATTTATCTCTCCCAGTCATTTTTTATATTGGAGTTTGACACTTTTCAAGCCAACAAAATAACTAAAAAGGATATGGCTAAAGAAGCAATTTCTAATAAGAAACTAATAAAACTAGCATACAACCGAAAAGGAGCTACTGCAAAATTTAAAAAAAACATAATTTGTTGACCAGACTGCTGCAGATTGCACCACTGCGTCATCTAATTACACTTTTTAATCCCAAATGTCTCACCCCATTAATTTCCCCACTCGTTTCTGTTTTTGGACAAACTGGTTCCAAGCAGACACAAGAGCTTTAGCAAATGTCTTTCTTGTGCTGTGCTGCAAAGAAAACACTCATGGCCCAACTAATTTTTTGACTGCTTAATCTAATGTCTAATTTTAGAGCCATTCTGCTTTTGCTGACACGTATGAAAATAGTATTCTCCTAAAAATGGTGACTACATGCTTGATTTGTTGTTCCCAATTTGGTATAACCATTGGATGAGATTCAAGTGTTGAAGTAGCGCTCCTCATGAAAGGCCTTCATTCATTACTTTTACAATGCTTTCATTAGCCACAATGGAACTTTACAGCCCTCTCTGATCCCAAAAGTGCCATTACAGTTGATCATTCTCGTGCGGTGCTAATCACTTCTTTTTTATATGCAATAAATACAATGGTCTTAATAGAGCGTTAAATTATCCAGAGTCAGAAATGTTGTTTTGAAAGTCTCACAGAGGCGTCACAGGGGACTCGACCTCTGATTTTTTTCCACATTTGAATCAAACGACTGCGCGTTAGTCAAACTTGCATGTAATGGGAACCTGGAGTTCTCAACTCGACAATGACCCGACCTTGGTAACAGAAAAAAAAAAAGGCCAGCTCTCGAACTTCCAGCACTGCCAAACTCTAACGACCTTGAAGCTCTCTTAAACAGCTTTTGCAACTTTAATCCAAAGTCTGTGATGGTTTTTTCCTTCCAGAAACCAGAACTTTTCGCACCTGCCCAAACCAATAAAATCCTCAAAATAAAAAACGCCAATGCACTTTGTGAAGGGTTGAGTGTTATAACAAGCACTAATCACGCTGTCAAGCCATGGCTGCATGAGTTGGTTTGAAAGTGCATGTGCAGAACCTTCTGCTAGCGCTTACTGCAATCAAATGACAGTCAGCACACACTAATTGACAGCAGGCCACTTTTTTCAAATAACAGGAGCTTGATCGACAGAGAAAACACAAATATAAAATAGATGGTCGAGCTAATAGAACCCCAAAGAGCCGACAACTGAGGCTTGACTCAGCTTAGCTTGGCTTGGCCGTAACATGTCACACTCTTCCTGTGTAGGGAGAGCCAGGACTTCCAGGGCTGCCTGGACTCCCAGGGATAAAGGTAAATGCTTTGCTGTTTTTAACCCCAGTCATCCCCCCGCTGTTGTCCCTGTCCGTCCCCTTCAGCCCATCTGTAGCAGACCTCAGGGCAAAACTCAGCCGACCCATCATCATGCCTCATGCATGACACACTAAGGTCTCATAACCTTGCTTTTTTCCGGCTGTGTGAGATTTGTACCTGGTTCCATCTGCGTGAGTGGCAGAGGCACAAAAATACCTGTACAGTCAGTGCTGTGAGAAATACGGAACTTTTGATCCAAACCTGCCAGAAATCAGCAAGAAAACGGTCTCATTTAGGTTTGTGATGCTGTAGAGGTTTATGAATTAATAATTGGGTCCCTAAATTCCTGGCAACAACTCGAGTCTCTTCTCTGAAGTGGCATTAAGAGATTCCGAGCAAAGTGTGTCAAAGTCTCTGCTTGTCAAGGAAAATAAGTTTTTATTTTATGTGATCATTTAGAGTTTTTCAGAGTAGGCTTTTAAAGTTCAGATCCTAGCTTGCTTCTTTAATGTATCGTAAAAAAATACAGCAGATGGTGAAACTATAGGCACAAAAGGCACATCATTATTTACTGCCATCCTTTGCTTGAAATATTCTAATCCCTTGCAGTTATCTCAAGACCATTAACATGAAAAATAACGTGAACGCAAGGAATGCTCACACGGGCATGAAGAGATGCTGCTTTGGTTTTGTTTTCCATTCTTTGCGTGCTTGTAATGTGTTGGTCGTGTAAAAATAACCCCATACATTCAACATTTTATACACTCCTGTTTCTGCTTTAGAGGCCTGAATGCTTGATGGATTCTAACAACATTTCTTTTTGCTAACGTCGCACTCGGTGTTCTGAGCGTTGTTCTGCTCTGCATTCTTGGCTGTTTATTCGATCAAAGTTGAAGAAGCAAGGGTCCGTGACCTCTCTGAAGGCTTCCATAGGGCCTTTGGCAGCTGTAGCTGGGGAAACCCTGGGTGCAGATGGGGAAGTGATACAGTCCAATTAAGTGGGTTCATGAAAACATTTAACGCAAATCAAATAAAGTATCACACCTCACACTGGAAGGGGACTGCTTAGACAAACGTGCAAATGCAAAAAATGTTGAAGCTTCTTCATAGCTTGAAGAGAAGCTGCTTTTTTTTGCACAGAACTTTAATGTGTGCCATGATGAGTTTCATCAAGGTTATTGGATTTGTCTAAAAAGGGGCCCATAAGAAGGAGTCATGATACATACGAGACCAGCAGTAAACCTTAAAGCTTCTAATGATACGTTTCTGCATGCGTGTTTTTATGCATGTTTCAACGGGTTTGTGTGCATGTCAAAGTTTATTCATGCATGTTTATTATTGATTTGGCTTTGCATTTTGTGTGTGTGTGTGTGTGTGTTTCTGTTTTGCAGTCATAAGCAGCAAGCGCATCTAAAAACCAAATTTGCATTCTGGGAAAATGATTAAAATGTTCTTGTGTTCAGGGCGAGCCGGGATTCCTCGGCCCTCAGGGAGAACCAGGCCTTCCGGGACTCCCAGGAACAAAGGTGGGTGCCGCAGTGACTACAGTAATCGCTCACTGACGATGACTTTGCAACAACTAGTAATCGCCTCCTGTCTATGTTGTGATTTCAGTCAGTAATTCCTTCAGGTTTACGCTCTCATTAGCCAACATCATCACTTAAGCGAGGTGATTAAGGCGCTGATTCTCCAAAATGTCACTTGGAGGTGTTCATCTTGAGCTAATCCTCACAAGGGGGGAGCCATCAGTGATAATCCAGACACACGTCCTTTCTACAATGCGTTGATAATCAGGATGTATCAGTCATGCATTGTTGGCTGGGCATCTCTGTCACTTAATCAAATGTCAGGATCTATCTGAAAAGGGGAAGCCCAGCAGGCGACAGTTCATCTGATGGGTTTTTTTTTTTCCTGGTGTTCAGGGCTGCCCACAAGTCTAAGACAGAAAACGTTTTGGACATATTTACAAGGGGCACTGCTGAAACATTTTCAGGACATTTTCCCCTTGGAGAGCATGTAGGTTTATTTGCAAGTCTGGGCCATTAAGTTATCATTAGTGAGCGTTTATTTGAAGAGAAAACCAATGCCTTATTGACTCAACACTGCTGAATAATGGCCATGTCCCGCTTGGTTTGGAGTATCAGCATTAAGTAATAAAGGGATTAGGCTCTGAGTTATACCACACCCCCCTCTATGGGCTTTATAAAGTCACTTCAAAAGGAGAAAATGTTCACAGCAGAAGAAAACGAAGAAAACTGAAGGACAAAAAAAAAGTTAGGATGTTGATGTTTGTCTGGAGGTCTTTTAGAAATAACATTTCACCTTCTAAAGGGTCACAGTCCATCAGGGAGGAGAAAGTTCAGGCTCAGCATAGTCACGGTTCATCGTGTAAATCTGCAGAGTGCAACACAAAAAAGGGCAGGGAGCTTTCAAAATAAGCTACTGGGGAAATTCCCTTTGCATAAAATACAGGTGCGTTCATTTCTGATGTTCAGAAATGCTCCTCTGCTGACACTAGGGAGGAGAGGCGAGTCCTGATCAGCAGTTCTGGATGACACTAAGAAATGCAGGTTGCAACTCAGCAGGAAGTTTGATATTGAGCTCTGTTATTTCCTTTCTTTCAATAAACTAACTCCAAATGATGAAATATTTACATCCTTCATGCAAGTAGTCTGCAGAAGTTGAGTTTGTTGAATGAAAGGCAGTCGGCTGTGAAGTGAAATACTTGACGCTACTCTGCTCGTCTGTAGTGCCTCCTCTGCATCACTTCACTTGCAGGGTATCAGTCAAATCTGCAGATTTTAGGAATGTTTTAGAGTAAGACAGCTCGCTCTGTAGAGTTCACAAACTGTTGCAGAACTCAAACGCTTCCTCACACCGCTTCACAGACGCTTCGGTGTCACTACTGTCTGCTAAGGGCGGCTTTTCTAGCGTGTGTCCTACATTTGAATGCAAACAACATGAGTTTACTGAAAGGTCGACAGGGCTGGCAAGAAGTCAAGCTGGTCCTGTATTTTTAGAAAGCCCTCTGCTGGTTCGAAAGGGGAATTACATCAAAAAGCCTGATTATGGGTCAACACAGTATGGATAAGAATGTTCCCTTAGCATTTGCATGAATGCTCACATTTTAATGAAGAATGAGCAGAACTAGTGAGTGGTGTTTTTCTTCTGTCTCTAAAGGGGGAGAGAGGTGACCACGGGCCACCAGGAAAAGGGGAACGAGGAGACATTGGACCTTTTGGACCAAAGGTCAGTTTTTTAAGTAGACATGAACAAGTCATCACACACAAACTGCAGGAGTGATGAGAAAATAAAGTGTATCACTGAGTAGTATGCCTTAAAGATCTACCTTGTGTATTCACCGCCATCATGTTATCCATTGATTTTTGCTGCCATCTAGAGCCTGACTTATTTTAGCACACAGTAATGTGGACCGAGTCTTTAAAAGAAGACAAAGAAGAATATTTCCCAAGTCATTCAACTCATCAGATATTCACCCGTGTGAACACAGAGGGCTGTTTAAACCATTACAGCCTGCAATGAGATCAAGGCTCTCCCAGGAGTCCGCTCAGAGTAAACCAAATCTAAATGAGTTTACCACTGTTTATGTCTGGCACTGACTCAGCAGGTAGCTAAAGCTCCAGTCTAAACCCAGACGAGCCATGGATCTGTTTCACATCCTATTAGAAGAGCCAAACGTCGGAGCTCTCCTTTATCAGTGCCAGAGTTCAAATAAACACTTTCCCCCATTGCTCTGCAGCTACGGCAGATTCAAAGCGGCTTGTTTTAGTGAAGCTGAATGTGTCGCTCTCGAGGGAGGAGAACGAGAGGTTTACGACATTTCCTCTGTGAATCATACATTTTAAATGCATACAATTTTTATGATGAATTTGGATTAAACCCGTAAAGAGAGTTGGTTTTATGCTTTTCCATTTTATGTTTATATCTCCTGTGCGCAGCTGCTCTTTTTATAATGTCACTAAACCCGTGATTCCTATAATCTGTTCTGTTTTTTTTTTTTTTTCATTCACCACAGGGTTCACAGGGAGAGTCTGGCACACCTGGTCCTAAAGGGTCAAAGGTGATATGTTTTCTTAAATCTGGTGAAAATAGCTTCTTAATTCGATTTTGCAGGTGACCCAGATCTTCGATTTCCTCCATTAGGTTTCCTCTTAGCAAGTTGTTCAATCAATTCAATGTCACACAATAAAGCGTCTTATTTAAACAAACCATTTTGGATGAAACCCTACAGAAAAAAAAACAGCGAGCAGACGTTAAGTTTTGTAGTTGCAAACTTGCAAGTGGAATAGATTGCTGGTGGAGTTGAGGAGCAGTAATGATGATGTGGATTTGATTGTTGCTAGTATGGTTATAAGAACCGATTCCAAAATATTGGGAACAAATGTTGCATCACAGTTTTCTTTCTTTCTCAAAATGAATATTTCTAAGTACTGAAAAGCCACTTACGATAACAGAGAAGGGTTTAAAATGTAACTTTCCTCTTGTTGCTTCTTACAAAAGATGTTGTAATTACCACAATCGTGATCTATTCAATTTGACTTCTCAGGGGGAGACAGGAGATAGAGGTGACTTGGGATCTATTGGCCCAAAGGTAAGCAAGAATCTTAAAGAAGATAAATGCCTCTATCGTTTTTTGGGGGCTGATTTCATTAGTGTGATAATATGCAGTCAGAAGTATTTTCATTTCACACGACATGCTGCACTGCTGGCAGTTCCTATTAGTGTAATGACATACTTACTACCACCAGGGGGCAGTGGAGTGTCGAGACACTGATTTAGGCCTCACATTTATCTGTTTTTTTTTTTTTTTTTATAAATCAGTTGCATCTTTTAAATGACGTCTTTTAATGTGTATCTGAATGTCAATAATTTGCAGGGCCCTCCAGGACAGAAAGGAGAGCAAGGAGCCACAGAAATCATCGACTACAATGGAAACATTCAGGAGGCTTTACAGGTCAGAAAAGATGCAGAGAGAACTGACACACACACATGTTTGCAGGACGAAAGAGCGGTGTAAAGATAAGGAAAGGGATAATGAGAGGATGTTTTCCTCTCATTATAAATGTTGTTATTTTTAAAGTGACAAAAAGTACATACATTGTCTTGAATACTTCTGCCACACTAGAGTGATGCACATACATTTGTAAAGGATATGGCTTTAAATCATGCTGGCGGTTCAAAACTCTGCTTTAAGATTCATAATCAACACTCAAAATAAGTCCTGTTGAGTACTTCCTGTACAGATAGGAAACATATCTGTTCTTTAATAAACAGCTTATCTGAAAGAGTGGTATCTGTGCAACAATATGCTGAGACAAAGGTTTCTTTCCTGTATGACCTCTGCAATCTTATCTCTCACCTCCTCCCCATTTCCATTCCTTTGGCCCCCCTGCAGAAGATTACCACTATTACAGTGACGGTAATTAGGCTCTGTGTACTGTGTGTGTGTTGTGTCATATCCACAAGTGATTCATCTCTGTCGTCGCATGGGCCCAACCCAGACTCAGCCCTGGTTTGCACTGCCTTGTTGTTTGTGCTCCCTCCCCTCAAAGCAACATGTTTGCTTAACAGCGAATGAAACTGTATCCAGTGCTTCAATAATGCTTCATCACACTCTACCCTACAAGCTGCCCGAGTGTCTGCCTGAATGTCAGTGGTATTTTTCAGAACTTACACAGTCTTTTTCTCATACAGGCAAAGCTGGAAACATCTCCAGAACTCCAAGTAATTTAAACAGAAACCAATATGATAAGATCTGTCATTTGGTCCCGCTTTATAAACCATCATCAGGCGCTCTTTTCGACAAAGTAACTGACCCCAAATCTAGTTTTAAAACCCTGTTACACATATAATGTTTACTCCTCAATGACTTGTTTTATTCAATGTGTAATCCGGGGTCCACGCTACAAATCTGGAACCAGGTCATATTCCAAGGTAGACAAAATGTTTACATGTCACTGAAACTGAGAGACACGGATCTTGAATTTGTCTGTCACCTTGTGAATTTCAAATTTAATTTAATCAATTTAAGAAACGCTGATGTAGACAAATCACATGTTAGTTGTTTTTCATTCCAGTATTATAAGGTTGTTATAATTGTAGGAATTTGCATGGTCACCAAATATGTTGGGGGGGGGGACAACTTATTATAACTCAGTTATTACATAACTCAGTCGAATGAATGAGCTTGCCTTTATTTGGGACAGGCATCAGTTCCTTTTAGTTATCTTCAAACCAAACTTGTGCACAGCAGAGATGGGAAAAAATAAAAAGGGAACATTTATATCAGAAAGAATATTTAACTGTAAAAAGTCTGTACATAGCACAGACTCTTGCACTTTCTGCTTATTTGCACTTCTGGTGAGATGCCAAACCTCATTTCGTTACTCTATACTTGTATATGTGTAATGACAATGAAGTTGAATCTCATCAAACAAAATGAGGATCTTGATCTATGTATAGAAATAAAAAAAAGGTCAATGGTGATATATAGAAGGGGAAATAATGTGACCCTTCCACCTCTCTCTCTGTTGACAACAATCCTCTCCACAAGCTTTGACTTTGGCATGTGTCCTTCACTTGAGCTTCATAATCCATGACTGCTAACATGTTCTGTGTCCTTTGCAAGTCATTTCATTTTGATTATCACAAACAAAAGTAGCTATTGGAAAGAGCCTCAGTTGAATGTAAATCAAAGAAACCTATATCTCTTTCTTTGTGTTTTCAGGGACCTCCTGGGCCTCCTGGGCCAATCGGGCCACATGGTTTTAAGGTGAATCCTGTTTTCTGCACTTTTTCCTCACCTTGCAAAAAGCCCTGCTTCTATAGTGATCCCACCACTTTCTCTACTTACTTTAGCAAAACTATATCTTTTTTTTAGGGAGATCGTGGTATGCCTGGTCTCCCTGGACTGGATGGTGAAAGAGTGAGTATTATATTTATAATAATGTTTAGATACGTTTTATTTTGAAAATTGGCTCTAAATTTAAGTGAAACCTTGGTGTTTTTAACTACATAGAAAGTGCTCAAGGGGTTTAAGAGTTTTACTCTGTGTAAGTTTTTTTCTCTCCGCTCTCAGGGCTACAAGGGTTCAAAAGGAGACATGGGAATGCCTGGAGCTTCAGGGGATAAAGGAGGAACTGGTTTACCCGGCCTCCCAGTAAGAATCTTAACGTGTGGCCAAACTATAGTCAAAAACAAATCTGCACATTTCTCACAAAATCTCTCATCTGCAGGGTGTCAATGGGATGAAAGGGGACAAAGGAGATTCAGGTCTGACTGGTCCTCAAGGTGCTTCAGTAAGTCACTGCAGAGACTTTTGTTTTATGACTCACCACTGTCACACTTCACTTCTACTGTCTATTGCAAACCATTGACTGTATAGAAAGAAAGATGACATGACAGCTCCCCAAAGTGAAGCCAAAACATTTAGAGCTCCCCCTACTGGTTTACTGCAATATAGATCATAAGCTCCGCCTCCTTTGTTTGTACAACAAAGGAGTTAGGGGACATGTCGTCCATTTTTATACAGTGCATGTGGCAAGCTTTGGTTAAGTTATGTGTTGTATGAAGAATGTAAAAATTCAGTCTGGACAAAATCACTGTGTTTGATAATGATTTGGTTAATACATATCTTTATTTTAAATTTACAGATCAGCGGTCCTCCAGGGCCACCCGGGCCACACGGACCCCCTGGACCAATGGTGTGTATTCTACAAAAACACATTTTAAACATTGCATTTAGGACTAAACTCACAAAATACTAAAAGTGAATAACTACCTTCAATGTAAGGTGCTGCATAATGCCGCATAACACTCAAACCTTCCTCCTCCCTGTAGTGAGCAAGACAAAGTCCGATACTGCTCAATCAGTTTGTCACAAGAATCAAAAACATGTGACACACTACTGTTATTCCAGATGAATAAATCACAGGAGACCACACAAAGAATCAATGGAACTATAGATTGAATCAAACCCTTTACATGCGGACATCAGATGACTTCTACAGTTGCTGTCAGCCTCTTACTAATGGCATCATACAGCTGTATATTTGCAGCCCAGTGTTAGGTGGGGGTGTTTCTGCTGTAAATGCTCAATTATGAAATAGTGAGACAGACTGTGGATTATCTTAGATTCATTCAGCCGAGGTCAGACAACAGCACACGTCTAATTAGGCTAGAAAGAAACAGCTTAGGCTAAAGATGGATGATCATGTCAGGAGTCACAAACTCATATTTTTCCATGTTATCATGTTTTCAGGGACCCCATGGTTTCCCTGGAGCGAAGGTAAACAAAACAAAAAAAGTACAAGTGCAACAACGTCTCATACATGATTAGAATTCACATAAGAATAAAATGACTATTAGAAAATCTGTAAAAAGTATTTACCGCTAACAATTTGTTAAAGCTGGTTATGAAACAGACTGAAATGTATATAAAAGCCTCTTTATGAGCTAAAAAATCAAATAAGAACATCTGCATAAAGATTTATTATTTCTGTATAGTTATTTTTTAACGTTGGTGTCAGTCAAAATAATTTACCACATACTACAGCAAAGCCTTTTGTTTATAGTTTCCACAGGAAAGATTTTTAAAACTCTGATTGTTAAAAGAAAGCAGGAGGAATTTTTTTGTTTTAGTAAAAAAAAGTCATTGAAGGGATAAGATGTACCACTGTGTCCAGAGGGGGGCGGCCAAAGTGAACACAAATCAAAAGTTCCTGACAGTCAATTGGAGTTCTTCCGTGTTTAAGTTATTCTCTCTTTTTAGGGGGAATCTGGTTTGCATGGTATGAAGGGTATTCGAGGGGAATCAGGTCACAAAGGGGACCGCGGACCACTTGGTCTCCCTGTGAGTACAGCCGTGCATCATGGGATATCTTCATTCAAAAAGCTCTGTCCTTCATTTCCATAGCCATTCAAACATCTGTTTTTTTTTTTATACTGTAGCCCTGTGTGACTTATGTGCACTTATATGAGTGTGTGTATATGTGTGTGTTGTGTGTATATGTGTGTTTGAGTGTATATGTGTGTTTGAGTGTGTGCCTAAATGGCCGTCTTCATTTTCTGTCCTCATTTTCTTTGGCTTGGGCCGACCCTTTTGTTGCCGTCATCCCTGTAACGCATAGTGTAATTTAGTTGTTGTAAACCCTGCCATCAACCTGTCCTAATAACAGTGTTCATCTGGTACTAATCCCGCCTTGTTCATGTCACTCATACCTCCATAACCACACAGGGAGCCTCTGGCTTGGACGGCAAGCCCGGAATTAGGGTGAGTGTCATGTGACCAAGAGGCTTCACCACCCAACCTCTACAAACTCTTTCTCCCTCTCACCCTCCATACAGCTCCCCCTCCCCCTTTTCCTCAATTTTTGTACCACCATGGCACCATCAACCCATTTTATTTCATTTGATATTGATTCAAAAGAAAGTTAAGATTTTGTCGGGCTTTTACATCTTAGCAAAATGTCAAGACTTCAATGTAGCCCCTGGGAGATTAATTCTAGGGATAGCGACTGTAAAGAAAGCATTTCGAGGATCTCGTTTTTTTGTCCTGTGTTGCATTAACTCAGCATTAACACTCACTCATACATTAACTACGTCAGCAGTGTTGCAAATGTCCTCTGTGGCCAATGCACGTGTACTCACAGCAGCTCTGTGTGTGCTGTTTGTAGGTCAAACCAGACGGGACAATTGTACAAATGTGGACGCTTAACATTTATTTTTTTTTGCTATCCATGTGTTATATGCTTAGAAAATCAACCTTGTTGTGAAACACTTTCTATTATCCATTAATGCAAACTCACCATGACTTCATGACTCTTTGCAGGGCATGGATGGGCCTTCGGGTCCAGCTGGTCCTGCTGGGCCGAAAGGCGACATTGTAAGACACTCGTTTTTTTTTCGTTCTTGCATTCAACTGATGGTCCTTTTTATTTATTTTTTAACTTTAATATCTTCAGCATTAATTGATTTTAAAGCATCTGTTTACTGTTTGATACATGTGATTCTTACTCTGATTCCTATTTATCAGGGTGAGAAAGGAGCACAAGGCGAGCCAGGACCAAGGGGACCTTACGGACTTCCTGTGAGTTAAATGAGGAGAATATTGTGTTAAAAAAAATGTATCCATTAAAATGTAAGTTTGAGCTTGTCAGTGCTTTTACATTCTAGACCAATTTTACATTTTTAGTGCTATAACGGGAAAGTCAAGCAGGATGTACCTTTATTAATAAGTCCATCATTTACATGATAATAAAACTTGTATTGTTTTGTTTGCAGGGAGCGGCTGGAACACCCGGCTTGGATGTAAGTCTAAGAACTTTATAAAGTACTTTTCTCTTAAGGCAGAGAGACAGAAATCTTGTGTTTGTTTTGAAGCTCCTCTATCTGGATATGAGAGAAATTAAGTGAGTTGTACTTTTTCAGGGGTTGCCAGGTTTAAGGGGAGAAAAAGGCGACCTTGGGGAAAGAGGAGAAAAGGTAGATGTAGAAAGGATGTTGTGACTTTGAATCCCCTAAACTAACAGAGGACTGATGTCAATGGACAGTCACAGAGGAGTAGACGGGTTTCATGGAAATATGACTTTAAAGGCCAAAGAAAGGTAGAAACAAATACAGCTGATAGAAATAGGGGTTGTAATCAATGTTGTGCCTTTAATATATTTACTGATTTTCTTATGCTCATGCAGATATACTGAACAGTCATATTTTGTACAGATCGTCATCTGCAGTTCTCTCAATCAAGCTTTTGTTCTTCACTTTTGAATTCTTTTCCATCTCATTTCTCAAAACCACAAATCCAGTTTCATTCTGGAGAAAAAGCAATTTCAACATTTTCAATCGAACAAGTCCATTGACAGCAGGTTCTTACAGTTCACTGTTTTTAATTTCTGTCCTTTCCATGCCTGAACATACACTTTTAACATCTCACTTCCACACCCTGGGCCTTTTTTTAATTTTAATTTTTGTGTTTTTTTTACTTGTGAATACAGTAATGAATGTCTCTCACCTATGTATCTTTTTTATTTTTAACACTAACTAACACATGTTCAGTCTTTCTCGATGTTTTATGTATTTGAGAAACTGTATCCCATTTCTGAAACATGAAGATGTTTCTGTAACAACGGCATTTAACAGCAATTTTCCAAACACAGAACGGATCATTAATAAACGTATTTTGTAAGTAAAAGCTGCCAAGATTGGAATCAAGAAAATGAAAAACCAAACACTATAATAGCAATCTTTAATATGAGTTATGAGTACTTTTCATTTTTTATAAACACAACTGTCTGCTGTGATATGGTACCTCTGAACTTCAGTGAAAATACTACTACTTCTAGCAGTAATAACTAACACTAACAGTTATAATTTAAAGCATGGTTTTAAGCCCCATTTCCACCAAGAGGTCCGGTTTGGTTCAGTACACGTTGGTACGGTAAACCCTCAGCCAGCCTTACCCTTACTTGGTAAGTGTAAGGTGTAAGCCGGATGGATATAGATGACGCGCGTCAGCTACTGAAGAACGTGATACAGTAAACAAGGGGCAACAATGGAGGACGTCCAGCATTCTGCGTTGGTTCTTCTTGGCATGTGGCTGTTTACCGCAAGAAGAAGACGAGCTGCAGGCCTTTAAATGACGCCCTCGCAATCCACAGGATATTTTAACATGGCGCTTTTTTGTGTTGTTTTTTTTTTTTTTTTACCGCTGATGCACGGGGAAGTGGTGATGATAACCACCCATCAGGGTCAGATTGTTACGCTTGGCAACACATCAGAAGGGTAGCAGAAAAGTATGACGGCACAGTTTATTTTTCAACGTTTGACAGTCGAAACTCCAATAAATGTGTGCCGTACCGTACTGACCTGAACCAGACTGCTTGTTGGAATGGGGACTTTAGTGTGTGAATATAAATATAAGCCTTACCCGATGTGAAGGGATACAGTTGTTGTTTTAAAGAGTGTTCGATTGAATTCTGTCTTCCTGGAGGTTTGTCCCCTGCTACTCTTTCTCATCCTTCTGCCCTTGACCGATCAGCTCTGTTTTTTACTCCCTTCCCCTGTACTATTCTCCCCTTTTTGTCCTCCTCCTGTCCTGAGGAATTTTTTTTTTCTATGAAAACACCCAAACACTGATATCCCCTTCTCTCTAACACTGACTGTGTCTCTTCCTCTTTCCTGGACCTCCTCCTTTTTAATCACTCCCTCGCTAATAGCAGTGCTGTCCCAAATGTTTTAAAAAACAAAAAAACAAATGATGTTAACTTGACCAAACCGTTGTATCCACAGGGGGAGAAGGGAAAGAAGGGCAAAAAAGGGCCTAAGGGCGAGAAAGGCGAACAGGGTGCCCCTGGATTAGATGCACCCTGCCCATTGGTATGTCATAACAGTGAGCTGGGACTCTCCTCCCAGTCGTGTAGAGCAGTCGTCTCGATCAAGGATGAGCGCCCTGTGGCTACACAGATACCTGGCATCCACCTGACCATAAAAACTTCAAATCAGATTCTAATATTTGCTTCAATTCTGTGTCTGTTTAGACACAAAAAACATGCGCGAAAAAAAACAAACATGTAAACATGGCTGGATTATGGTATCAGCAAGCTCACAGAGCCGCTCCTCCTCCCCCCCCCCCCCCCTCTCTTATGACAGCCAGAATGGACGGTAGCAGGGGTTAAGGGCCGTCCACGTGTCTCCCAGTAACACTCCTAGGTCATCTTTGCAAACAGGGTTTCCGGGGATTTAAGGGTGAAAAGGGGGAACCAGGGCAGCCAGGTCTGGATGGGCTGGATGCCCCATGCCAATTGGTACAGTATTTCTCTTCTTCCTGCACCTCTTACCCTTGCATGCTGCTCACCTTCAGTCATCACTGAAACCAAACCATGCATGACCTGAGACCTCAGACATCATGAGTACACTCAACTTTAGTTGTTAAGAAAACCCACATACACCACCATTTACATCACTAACTTCTGATCGCAAGCAGCCTCTTTTAGAAAATACACACAATAACAAGTGAATTCTACACTTTGAACTTCTGATCATTTATAAGATTGATTCTTAAATCTTTCCCTCTAACTGAGTCCTTTCCTCCCCATGATTAAAACTGTAAAAAAAAAAAAAACAATCTGCTGAACTCCTGTTTCCTTCCAGCTGATCCCTTCAGGGAGCAGTTACCTTATAACCTGATGCTAACACAGACTCCTTTACTGATGCCCAAGGACCCCTCCTCTACTCTGTTAACTCCCCCTTTTCCCCTTCCTGAATTTGTACCAATTGGGCCAGACCATGAAAGAAAAGCAGAAAGATATATGAAACTTATAACTGCCGAGAGACCTCCTCGAAACGTGAACATTCTTGTTTCTTATGTCACGTTCTGCTTCTGAAACACATGGGGAATATAGCAAGAGATGTAATCTGTAGAAGTGTCCATTATGAGTAAATAATGAAATGATTTCTAATAGAGAAGAATACACTCACTTATCATCTTCAAATGCCATCTCACCAAAGACCATCTGAAGTCATTCACTTCCAGCTACAGAGATATTATTATAGTCTCAGTGATTTCAACTGTGACAAAATCCAAGAGTAGTGTTGAATATTGATGTGCATGACTTCTTGTATATTGTTTTCTGTGTTTTATGTGCATGAACAAGAATACAATCTTAATATACAGAATTGTATCATTAGAGGTACAGTCAGAAATAAGGCAAAGACTAAAATAATGATGTAAATATGTTAGGCTTTCTGTTTCAATCCATTTTTATACAAGGCTTGATTTTCCTCAGTGTGGCCATTTGTGTGTGTTTCGATGTTATCTTATTCAGAGTCTCAAGTTTTTTACGATTTTTCTCCTCTTGTGATTAAAGCTAAGAATGATTTTTTGTCATTAATAACTAAAAATCTGACATTTCTCATGCGTTTTTATTGGTTATAATCCACTCATTAATAACACTAACTGCATTTTGTTAAGAGCAAACCACCCCCTCCTGTTCCAGACTTACAGTTTGCTTCCTTCCCTGCTGCTCTTCTTGAACAGGGTCCGGATGGATTACCGATGCCTGGGTGCTGGCAGAAGGTACGAAAAGTTCATATTTGAGTATTATGACAGTTATTCAGCTACATATTTTTAACATGAATAAACTATGGGCGAAATGTCTAGAAAGTTAAGTTAAATAATTATATATATATATTTTTTAAAGCTCCTGTTGTGAACGTTTGGTTGTGGCGAGTATGGCGCCCCCCTGTGGACAAAACAGCAGCTTTTATCTTGTAGCGGATTTTTTCCTGTGAATGTTTTAGAAGTGTTATCAGATGAAGAATCTTATTAGCATCTTGACATGCTTTTGACAGCCGTAATAGTGAGTTTTGCGTTTTCTTAGCGTGTGTGGTCGGGATTCTTTTTTTAAACGGAGAAGGAAAACCTCAGCTTTCAAAAATACCCGCCTATGTGTGGGACTAGGCATAAGGCTGTTTCTAAAGCATGTTGTCAATCGCCTCATCTGACACCTACACCAGCTCAAAACTTCTCACAGGAGCTTTAAAAATGTAAGGTTGGTAGTAAGTAAGTAAGTTAGTAAAGGATTGGTTTAACTTGTGTTTCCTGCTTAAAGGGATTATATGTCAGTTTCAGCTTCTCTATGTTTGCATGGGTTTGTAAATTCAGTTGTAACATTGTATAACTCACTCTGTCAAACCAGTTCAACTGAGTTCAACTGAATTATGAAGCCAAGTGAAAACATGTCCACATTCATGTCATTCTCTCTCCTGTGTTTTTCTTGCAGTGATCACTCTAACCTGACACGCATGGAGTTTGTAAATAATGCTTCTTTTTTGGTATTTATAGTTTTTTTAATGGAACAAAAAAAGAAAAGTTCAAAAGAAAAGAAGTCTATGTGTACAATGAAACAAAAAGAGATAACTGTCCCTAAGCTGCTTCTACTCACATCACCGTGTGGAGAAAAAAAACAAAAAAAAAAACCCATCTGTGTGTGTGTGTCCGCTCTCTCACATCCACATCGCGGTGGAAGTCGATCCCTGGCTGGCAGCAGAACTTGTCTCTGTAGTCTTTGCATGGCTAAGACCGGAGCGTGGCAGTCCGGCCAGATTCACAGGGGAGGGGGAGCGAGGAGACGGAGGAGGAGGAGGAAGTGGAGGAGGAGAATCTGGACTGGCTCTCTAACACCAAACACTAGATGTTTTGTGTTGTTTCGTCTCAACAAGCTCACCGTCCATTCACGCAGCACCATTTTCTAAAAAAATAGAAAAAAAGACTGCCAAACAGAAATATTGCACCCCCGACCCCTGCAAAAGCATGAGTAGTATACTGAAACTATGTTTATATGTATTGTACATACGTGTCACTGTTTTGTGGTTGCGTCATGGCTTCTGCAGAAAAAACAACAACAACAACACTAATACAAAAAGAAAAAAAACCATCCTGGATCTTTAAATCAGTCATTTCTTTGCTTTATCTTCTCAAGGGAGTCACGCCATGGCTGGTAGCCTGAAAACCCCGAGAAAAAAGTAAAGTTGTTGTTGCTTTATTGTGGTGATGCCTGCAGAGGGTTGTGATATCAGCAGGTTTTCACTGATGTGGCTCTGCACCAGCATCAATGTGGTGCCTCCACATGTCACCGGACCAGAGGGGAGGACTTAGCGGGGCTCACTGCACTGATAGGAAAGTTAATCAGGCTCAGGACCCCCTCTGAGAAAACGGACCGGGGGTGGATCCAAAGGAGAGTCGCTGAGAGTCGACCTCTGTGGAGGTCAGCCGGAGCGTCTGCCTCTCCTTTACAGGGGATGCTTCGATGTCTACTGAGAGCGTAAACAGAATACAATCATGCCTTTTTTTCTTTATTTTTTCTTTTGTTTTTGCTCTCATTCTTTAACATCATTTGTATTTTGTGTATAATAGCCTTTGGTGCCTCAAGCTTTTATTCATTCCTTTATCAGAAATGTACAACTTTATATCACATTTGGAGTCATTGGAATATGTTTATTTCCGAGGGGTTAAGCTTTGTTTGGGTGAAAACGTGTTCATGAGTCACACATTGTGTACTGTGCTTCATGTGAATTGTTTTGACAGAACTCTTTGAATAGTATGCTGTAGATAACCTGCCCAGGGTTCTGAAGAAGCTCTTGGTTCATGCTCAAACACACCCAGCATTGTAACAAAAGTGCCACGTGTTCATTCTGGACTTGTTTTATGGGATGTTCTCTGGGCAGTGTTGTCAACTCACTGCATGGACACAATTTACGACTTTTTTGGTTTCTCAGATATTGCAGATGAGCGTTCATTTTGAGCAGATTGAGATTTAGTTGGGCGTACAGTAGCTGGTACTTCAGGTGGGTCAAAATGAGGCAAATAATGTGGAACAGCAGTTACATTTTCACTGCTCCTTTTCACCTTGTGCATTGTCTCAAACACATGGCAAACATGTATTTCATTGCAAGAAAAAGCTCGATTCAATTGACACAGATAATCGATTACCACAGTCGAACTCGTGGCCAGTTTTGTCACATTCCATATCAGATGAAGCCAAAAGTGCAGCAGAAGGTCAGGACACATTTTTTTTTTTCACCATATTTTACACGTCTCATCATGTTTTCTTACATATTCTAATTGCCTTCTGACATAGTGGGCGCTGTGCGTGGTGATGCTCACAGTCCTTTTTTTTTTTTTTTTCTTCTTCAGCATATACAAATATGCTTGAATGATTTACTGTAAGGGCAGAGTGAGATGTGATGTAGCAGCACCCACCGGTGGATTCAAGAGCATTTATTTCCCATGCTGTTTCTGTTTGATTGTACAGCTCATCATTGTTTGAAAACGGACATCTGTACAGATTACGTTGGTGCTATCTGATAGTACAGCTCAGTCGATATGCTCTACCGTTGGCAAGAAGTACACAACAGGTTTCTTAATCGTCATTGGTGTTTATGTATGTAACAAGCTCAAGTTTTTTTTTGTGCATATATTTGTGTATTTGTCTCTATTTGAAGTTGTACATTATTTATTTTTCTATCATTTTCTTAAATGAAGGCATTGTAGTTCTAAACAGCATTCCTTTCGGTTGTTTTGCTGTCAGTTTCTGCTGCGTCTCTGTTTCTATAATGAGAAGCTGCTTCATACTAAGGTGTCACACAACAGGTACATTGCAGAGGAAGGAGTTTATTAACGGATAAGTTAGTGTGTATTCATGGTGCATTTATTTCAGCGTATAGGCCTTACAATAGAAACTTTTATTTAATTTTTACGTGTCTAACTATGGCAACAAAGTACTGATGCAAGTGTGTCAAGTTAAACATCACAGCTCTTTCTCACATCTCTCTCTTTGCATTGAATGTAGTTTGATATATGTATAGTGGATTACAATGTACTGTTTAAATGTATGCTCATTTGACAAGAAGTGCAATTTATACTTTGGTTCATGTGTGTAGCATCAAATGCAGCTGAAATATCACACCACTGTGATTTGCTCGGTCATGCTACCCTGTATACCACTACCTGGAAAGAAAGACAAAGACGCGCATGTAAACATGGACCTTTCATGAAATAGCAATTTGTGATTGGTTTAACTATTTCCTCAAATAATGTCCCTTCAATCATGGTGTAAGACTTTATTTCCATTGTGTTTTATTTACTAAATTGTTGCATTAAGGTTTTTTTATTTGAGTTTTGATTTCCAGCCTTTGTTACAGTATTTGTTTCCACAAGTTGCTGTATCTTTAGCATGTGCAGCTAATTTTTCTTAATTGACTTTTTAAATTGGATTTCTTTGTTTGTGTGAAAATGTGTTTTCCATGTTAAAGATTCAAAATATGTTTATTCTGCTTTTTGCAGATGTGCCAAAACATTTGAAACAGGTGTTTCCATATCAGTATTTGTTTCCATGTCAGTATTAGCAGAGCTCACGAGGGGCTCCAACATGACTCACCGATTGGTCACATCTGTGTATTTGTCATTGCTGCAGATATGCTCAGAGTCAAGTTTTTCAACAGTAGAATACAGTACCACTTGAGCAACACATCACTCATCAAAACCTCCCAGATTGCAGCCTCAGTTAAAGAGGAATATTATCACATAGAGTAACATGCAGTCTTGGTAGAGCATTTAAAAAAAAAAAGGCAGCATCCACGTTGTTTTTTTAAAAAGTGGAAACTGAGATTTGGGGTTATGGAATATGTAAATGTTCCTTTCAACTTTAGTATTATCATCTTCTACCAGAGTGATTGTCATTTCTTTATTATAGACCCTTTTGTTAACACATCTATGTTTCAAAATGACATTTCATATGACTGTACTGTTGGAGCCAAATAAATGCAGTCTTTCAAATACATCAAATAATAGTGTTGTCTTTATTTGCAGTCCCTTATTTTCAGATTACATAAATCACAAACTATTGTGTGCTCTATTAGGAGTAAGTGTGGCCAATAGATGAGCCGCTGTTCAACAATGCATGAGTCGGGTTTTGTTCAGGTTAAAGAATCTAATTCAGGGGTGTCCAAAGTGGGGCCTGAGGGCCATTTGCGGCCCTTGAGGGGATTTTTTGCGGCCCGTGACTTCAAATGAAGAATCAGAAGATTTTGGCCCGGGGCCTTGATTAAGATTGGCACATTATCTTGTTTTTCTTATTCATGTTAACACGGGCTGAACAATATTCCTAAAATAGAAAATGTTCAGTAACATGTATGTTGTTGTTGTTTTTTTAAATCTACAGCTTTTATTATTTTCCACATTTTTTTTGTAAACTATGAAAAAAAAAACTTATGCAAAGTTTTTGCAAACAAGCGGACTGTTGTTTAACCATTTAATGACCTGAGCTAAATGCAGAAAGCTTTTCCAAAAAGAAAAATTAACCATATTACAGGCTTGATTCTGAGGAAAAAAAAAAAAAAGTTGAACGAAGAAATCAAAATATTTGATTTCCTTTTATTAAAGGGTTTCTTTAGCGAGCCTTTTGATTCTGATCTACAAAACCTTACTATTTTTTCGACTATATTTAAAAAAAAAAAAAAACCTGTGGCCCCCCAGCCATTCTAACACGACAATTTTGGCCCGCAAGGAAAAAAAAAGTTTGGACACCACTGGTCTAATTAGATCGCTTTTGATGTTTTTTGGTCCTAGCCTAAATAAATAAAGATTTGATTAATAGATTCACTAATATGCCTATTGCAACATAAAGAAACAAGTACTGCAAAAAAAAAAAGAAGTAAAATAGATGTAGAGGTGGAAAGGTTTTAGTGGAGATGTAAAGACTAGGTCCGTTCATTCAGTATAAACATTATAAACTTCTGCAGCGATAGAACAGCTGTTGACACAACCTGTTTGCGTATTACTCAAACCTGTTAATAACACGTAACTGTCCACAAGGCGTCTGCAGGTTGTCAGACTGTCAGCTGTCAGATGTTGTCTCGATGACAGCAGGGGGGGAGCAGCGTGAGCTCGCGCACTGTATGTCGGGGGGGGGGTTGGTCTTGCTGAGTGCGCGCGCGCGCGCGCGCGGGTGTCAAACCGTGTTTATATGCTCGTGCAGATGTAACTAGTGTGTGAGTCAGTGGAGAGGAAAGTGAGCGTCGGACACCAAATGGACAACATTAGGATGTCCGCGGAAAGGTTGGAGAAAAGCAAGACGTTAGAATTGAGGAAGAAGCATATTGGGTAAGAGAATGAACTTTATGTACTTTTCTTAACGCAAAAGAAAAAACAAAAACGTGTCTAATAAAGATGACAGGCATTGAGTAGGCTGTAAACAACTTTAAATACAAAGTCTATAGGCTTAGTATGGCGTCCTTAAACGTAACTACTGTCTTTACAAACTTGCACTGAGCACAGCATGATACACGTCAATCTTTTTCACATCGAAATTTGATTATTTTGTTGACACATTTTATTCATTTTTAAATGTACAAATGAGCAGCTAATACAAAAGTGACAGTTGATGTGTCATAGTTCATCAGACAGATAATATCTTGATGTTAAAAGGTTCATAACATCTACTTTGTTTGAATAACTCTGCATCACTGCTTGTAATAATGTTAGATGTGGATGAACATAATATCAGTTTACCCCATTTAAACATCATTTTTGGGGGAAATACTGGTAGTAATATCAGCTCCTCTGCAGGCCATCTTGTAAGATTTTCTTCAGCCATGACCCCATCAAGATTGTGCGAGCCAAAGGCCAGTACATGTATGATGAAAAAGGACAACGCTACTTGGATTGCATCAACAATGTGGCTCATGGTATACACTGTTGGAAACACAAACACATGCAAACACACACAAAAAGTTGTTGTGTAATGTTGACCTGATTCCGATTCGACAACAGATGCACTGTTTGCAGTCAGAGACATGATTATAAACAGTTATATCCTGCCTCTTTAATCTCAACATGTGGTTTCCAATTATATCAGTCACTGTTCTGACAGCAAATTACAGTCCAATTATTGGATGACTCACAGTTGAATAGATTTCTTTTAGGTCTGAACTCGAGGAACATTTGTAATCCAGTGTGCCTCCTTTCCTTTTTTAATTTTCTAGTGGGCCACTGTCACCCAGATGTTGTGAAGGCTGGAGCTCGACAGATGGAACAGCTCAACACAAACTCGCGGTTCCTGCACGACAACCTCGTACTGTATGCCCAGAGGTTACAGGCTACGCTGCCTGACAAGTTGTCTGTGTGCTACTTTGTCAACTCTGGGTATGTGTGCATGTTCTGGCTCTTCTCAAACAACAAACATGCTGCTGCGATGATTCACCAGACGTGTATTTTTGGGGTGTGAATGATTGTCAAAGAGGTACAGGTAATGATAGGTTATTATATTCAGATCTTGTCTTACTTGAATGGTGCCTGAATCAAGCTATCCCTAATAGCAGCAATAAAGCACAAGGCATTGTAAATTCTATGATAAAAGGGTATAGTCCAAACATGTATGGCTATTATATAACTGTTATCAAGAAGAGACAACATATGTTTTAAAAGAGAACAGAACACTTGAGACAGAGTGAGACTGCCTCCCTGTAGTCTAGAATTGTGTGTTAGAGTTGTGCAGTTTAAAGAACAACAGAAAATATTTTTACTGCATCAAGCTACTATAGTTGCAGATCTGCATTCCTGTGGTGTGTGTAGCCATCCACACAAAATACATCTTAAATGTAATGTATGCCCAGCTTTGGAGCATTCTAGTTACTTATTTACACCGCTGGCTGGGAGTTACACAACACCAACAGAAATGATCTGGTTCAGGGTAATAATGTTGGAGATAATGATCCATAAACGTGCAATATCAGACTAAGTTTTTATCAGCCAGGGCTATTTAGAAGTTATAAACCTGACAAAAGGAGGTGTTTTTTTTTTTTTTATCACTACATTTCTTTTTGCTATAGTCATAAAACAATAAAAAAGTGCAGTTATATGCAGTAAGATTGTTCAAAGAAGACAATGGTAGCAGACAATAGTTGGTGGGCTAAATGTCACTGGACACCCTTTCTAATTATTGCCTTCAGGTGTTTCGGCCACACCAATTGGTAACAGGAAATCCAGCATTTGGCTGTCAAATTTCCAATCAAAGCCTTTGACAACCCATTGATGACACCTATCGGTGAGATCACTATTGATGAGACTTGGTGAGACTTAAAACTCAATAAGGTCAATGTTTACTGAGGTAATAAATCAACTGAGATGTAGGTTCATGTTATCACCTGGTTCCATACGTTTTGATTCCATCTCATAACCAGTGAAATCGCCCCCTGCTGGCCATTAAAAAAAAAGTATATATAGAAAATGGGCTTTTTTGCATTGGCTTCACTTTTCCAACCTAGAAACAGATCCACTTCTTACATGCAAGCAATACTTCAACCCCACAGAGCACCTTAAGAACAAACCCATTATTTCAACTTCCATAATAGAAGTGGTTTAAGAAGCTCGCATTGAATGTACCTTTTATACTATGCATTATTTAAGTAATATCGCACAAGAGGGCATGATAGTGCTTTTTTTTTTTTAAAACGATCATACAAGAAGAAAATCATTTAGCAGTAAAAAGTAAAACTCAACAACAGATTTTTTTTTTTTTTTAACTCCACCAACTCAACTAGTTCCACAATTTAACGAAAACTGGACTGTTACCAAGCAACCCAAACGTTGTATTCCACTGTACTCTTGCTACTCTGTTCGTGTCCATGGTTACCAAATAAATAAATTTGGTAAAAAAAAGAAAAAAAAAAGTGACATTAGAGTCTGCTGTATGATTCTGAGGTTTTAGATAGACGAATAAAGAAAAACACTCTCAGCTGTAAACGTCGATTAAAAGTATTCACAACTCCCGGCTTAGGAGGAGTGAGACATAAGCATTTTTGGACCCCGAGGAACTGTTGGAGCCCTCACACTTTTTTATTCATTCTGCACCGCAGGAACTATGAACTATTTTAGCTCCTTGAACCCAGTTTAGAGGAACCATGGTGTGTAGTTCTCAGAGAAAAGACTGGTGGTCTTCCAAAATTCACCAGAACTGTTTGGTCCAAATCCATCTTTTGATGAATAGGTGTAACCTCATACGACCCCATATTGGGCAGTAAAACATTAAACTGTGGCGGGCGTGCTAGTGATAGCAGTGGCTTCACCTGTGTGTTTTGTGGTGACTCAGTAACTCGAAGTAACCCTTGCTCTTTTGAACTTCAGCTCTGAAGCCAATGACCTGGCTCTCCGTCTGGCAAAGCAGTACACCGGCCACAAGGACGTCATCACGCTGGATAAGTAAGTCCTGGTTCATTGTGCACAAGCCAGAAGATAATTGATGGGGAGAGATTCAATGATTCTTACAGTGATACTTCTGTTTATTCGATACTTCTGTGCATGTATTGCATTAATAGATTTGACAGATTTGGTCAATGGCCTGTGTTTGCTTTGTTTGCAGTGCATACCACGGCCATGTCTCATCCCTCATTGACATCAGTCCTTATAAGTTCCACCAGCTGGCAGATCCTGAGGAGAACCAATCTGTCCATGTGGTAAGTGCTTTTTCTCTCCATGTCTGCCTGCCTGCACACTATTAAAACACCATGACTCAACCTTTGGTAGGCTAACGAGAAGTGTGTAGACGTGTGTGTTTGTGTGGGTAAGAACAGAGGTGAAAGACTCATGAAAAACAAGTACTTTTGACTAAATTCAGCCGGCTAAGGAGGAACCAAAGTGCTTCAGAAAAGGGAGGGATTGTATTTTTCCTTTGGGGTTTGGTACTTTACTACTGAGAAAGTTAAAATCCCAAAAGACACAGAATTAAAAGAGTTGAATCCAAAATAAAAAAAAACTACAAAATCAATTCAAACTACTGGATTCTATTCCTTTGAAATGAACATCATCATGTAAAGATGTTTCACCCCTTATTATTCTCAAACTGTGAGTACTATCTCAGTCAATCTCAGAACAACATCACTGTTCTCTTTAGATAAAAGCATTCAATCTAAATACATGATTTGCATTATGGGGATTGTGGGATTGAGAGGTTCTGAAGACTGACCCAAATAACGCCCCCTTTATAGAAGTGCAGCACTACATTGTTGGAGGACTTTTCAAATTCCATTGAAGTGTGTGACTTTGTTCTTTAAACAGCACATATTTAAACCCAGAGTGATGCATTGTGTTGTGCTGCATGGTCCCTTCATAGCCTCAGTGTAGTTTGATACAGCAGCTTGAGGAATCCCCAGCTATAGTGTTACATGCCGAAGGTGGGGCGATCCTGTCTGTTTCCCCAGCCTGCATGACTTATTCATGATCATAGACACAAAGAAGTGAGACGCTGGTGATCAAATGTTCCCCAACATTTCACCTAGGGACAAAGGGGACCATTATTTGTCACAGTTGAAGAAAGCCTAGAGTTAAAACTGATATTTTTGTCGTATTTAAATGCAATCTGGATGAGGAAGCAGCAATAATGACCTCAAAATCTTGTCCCCTTCACAGGCTCTGAGCCCAGATGTGTACAGAGGCAAATACAGAGCAGACCACCCGGACCCTGCCACAGCGTACGCAGATGAAGTTGAAGACATGATAGAAAAAGTCCAAGGGGAAGGAGGCAAGGTAAAGACTGTGGTTGACACTGTTGTGGTACTTGATGTTTCTTAAAGTGAGATGGACCTTGTGCTGCAGATAAAATCTCAGATGACTCTTTCTTTTAAGCCCGGCATACATTTAAACCCAGATTTTGAGGCGTAGGACTCGTTTTGAAGTTGGGCCTGATTTCAGCCCGATCGCAAGTAATCTTTTGTGCAGAGTACACTGAGGAACAACAAGCTGCTCCTGACCGGTCAGATAAATATCTGGCATATTTGATATTTTGTTTGTGAAGTCTCTGTCCTGATTTACCTCGTACAGAGAGAGCTCTCAGGACTTGCCCAAAAATTAAATGGTGATCGTTGGTCGTGCGTTTCTACAATTGTACAGTACGGCATTAAAGAAATGGTCATTAATAACTTACAAGTCTTTTCATTGTATAAAAGCAATGCTTCTGGTAACTCTTCTATAACATTACATACTGTGTGTTTTAATTTAATAACAAATCTTGCCCCCTATAGTGTTGCCTTGTTTATCTTCCTTTTTTATGGATACTCATTTACATTTCCACTTTTATCTTTCCTCCCCTTCTTTTCCACTTTAATTTTTGTCCCATTTTTTAGGCTCAGACCGAGGACTCTTGTCATCCCAAATCACCAGATCAGGTGTTGCGGACTCTTAGTGTCCAAGCTTGTTGGCCATTAACCGTATGTTGCAAAGCTCAACCCAAGGGTATGTCCATGCTTCCAGCGATGAGACAGAGAAACCCAACTTCAGTAGAGTGATTGCACCAAAAACCTTTTGGTGCTATTTAATGAATGTTTTTACCAATGGTATGTCTACACTATTAACTACAACAAGTCTTATATTTCTTTATACTGCAGAAATTCAGTAGTGTGTTAAGTGTTAATGTTGCAGCCAGATGATCTGAATGAATGTGTACTTTTTTCTGTCAAGGCATTTTGATTTACATTAACATTCATTTCTGTCCAAGCATTGCAAGACTTTGTCCATCAACTGAAAAGTGAAAAAAACACACTGATTAAAGGGGCGATCTACAGGTCAAAGACGCCAGGACTCCTTCTCTTTTTCAGTTTTTCAGTGTTGCTTTTAGGTTAATACTTGTTTTTTTTTCTCTTCCCCTGCAGATTGCTGCTTTTATTGCTGAGTCATTGCAGAGCTGTGGCGGGCAGGTCATTCCCCCCGTGGGCTACTACCAAAAAGTTGCAGAGTGTGTACCGAAGTTATTGCAAAGATTCAGTCGTGTTTTCGTATCTGCCAACATTTCAGAATCACATCAAACATTTTTTGGGGGCAAATGTGTGCCTTGTAATAAATAGTTGCATTTATGTGGATGTGTGCCGTATTGAGAGAATGAGCAACTTACTAATACGGATCCATTCATTCCTGCAGACATGTGCGTAAGGCCGGGGGCGTTTTCATTGCTGACGAAGTCCAGGTGGGTTTCGGACGCGTCGGCACCCACTTTTGGGCCTTCCAGCTTCAGGGAGAAGACTTCGTTCCTGACATTGTCACCATGGGAAAGCCTATAGGCAACGGCCACCCCATGTCCTGTGTGGTCACAACCAAAGAGGTGGCAGCGGCCTTCCTGCAAATGGGAATGGAGTATTTCAATACGGTAAGAGAACTGTGCAGGTAATAGACTAAAAAGCTGATTTAGTTTGTACCACTTTCTGCAAATTGTTTACTGTTGTGTTGATTTATAACACAGAAATCTAAACAATTTTACTTAGTTATTTAACTGGTTAAACATATTGCAGCTAAAAAAACAGTAGAAGCTTGGCTTTTTTTCCCTACGTTGACCAGAAGTATACACGACCTGACCTTAAACTTGGCACGTTGTTATTTCTATATTTGCCAAGCAGATCAATACATTTGTGTTCCACACTAAATGGAAAAGTACATTCTGCTTGAGACAGTTTTTGTCACTGTAGGCAACAGTTATTTATTGGACAAAGAAAAGTTGGAATGTAGTGATATAAATGTCAGATTTCCCTCTGTCATGTATTGTACTTTGAATCTTTGGATCATAATGGCAGAAGAGTTAAGGGTGTCTACATACTCATTCAGGAGCTGATCTCCTACAGAAGTCGGTGTGAACCTCACCTCGGTGTAATGTTTCCTCTGTGTGTGTGGGTTTTGAATTCCTTAGTTTGGCGGTAACCCCGTGTCGTGTGCCATCGGTCTGGCTGTGCTGGACGTGATCAAGAAAGAGGATCTGCAGGGGAACGCGTTGCATGTGGGGCGATACCTGACCGATCTGCTGGAAAAGCAGAAAGAGAAGCATCCACTGATTGGTGACATCAGGTAAGCCAACTGAATACGACCTTCATACAGAACAAACTTCAAACATAAACTGCCTTTGTGTGCAGTCAGTCTTAGACAGGACTTCACACATTTTGTCAAAGTAGGCAGATGTACTGGAGATCAGGGCAGCAAACACACTGTCTTCTTTTAAGTCACTTTTAAAAAACTATTTTGGACTAACTTTTGATTGATTTTATCGCTTTATTGTTTTATTTCTATATGTTATGTTCTATGAACTGTTGTCTATTGGCTTTTAGTTGTATGTAAAGTGCTTTGTAACTTGTTTTGAAAAGGTATTATTATTATTATTATTATTATTATTAATAAATGATGTCACATCCTGCAGGGGGCGCGGCCTCTTTGTTGGGGTGGAGCTTGTGAAAGACAGGCTGAAGCTCACTCCTGCTACAGCAGAAGCCCAAGAAGTCATCTATAAGTAAGTGCAAGGCCACAGATAAGTGACTGACCTCACATTGATAATGAAAAAAGAAACATTATGCAACATTTGGAGAAACTTCAGCCATGCTTTTGTCCGTTTCTTTTCATCTACAAACACGTTAGAATCCAAACACAATTTTCTTATAGCTTTGGTACTCAGTGAATACATTTGTTTCATATATGAAATCAAACAATGATCAATTTCATTCTGAAAATAAGTTCACACGTATTGATCTTTTATTTACATATTAGTAAATTAGTTCTTCCACTTGTTCAGGGCTTTAAATGTGTAAATCTCTATCTCTCAACCGCCATGTTACAGAATCAAAGTCCCCTACTGTACTTAATGCAATATGATTTTAAAATACTTTTCAAATATAGACATTTTAATAGAAAACATTTCAAGCACAGTGTCTTTGACTACAGTTGTAACAGTGATAGAGTTCTTTTTTTTATTAGACATTAGAAATTTGGTCTCAGGTAGACAAGCTGAAATGTAAATGGTAACATTCATTAAGTCAGCATGTGTGTCAGTGTGCCATCGTTTATCGTATTACTGTATTTACTACTGTGTTTACATTTTTACTTCCCAGGCTAAAGGAACAGCACATACTTCTCAGCGCGGATGGACCTCATCGCAATGTGCTGAAATTCAAGCCCCCCATGTGCTTCACTACAGAGGACGCTGACCTGGCGGTGGAGCAGATCGACCACATTCTCACAGGTATTCAACATTTCCTTATTCCCTTTTCTCACTGTGTTGTTCTCTATGAGGATGCTGCTCCTGGAACACACCGTCATCCTTCTGGCTTTTGAATTATTTAAAAGGATTAAGGAATGCAATGGTAGCCTCTCAATGGACTTGAGTATTCACAATCAGAATATGACGTTAACATTCTCACAGAGAAACCTGGTTATTCATATCCCTGCATAGATAATAAATGCAAGAATCTCAGGTGCGTCTTATTTGCACAGGCGTCTGTGATGTTTATTTTTGACAACACACACTGCAGTAACGTTGCGTTGGAAAAAAGTGAAGTGTAGCCTGTTCAACACATACTGGAATAGGTCAGCATTCTAATGCTTCTCCCATCTTAACTTCCAATTACTTTGTATTTGATTCTTTCAAAGACAAAACTCAGCCCCTCCAGAAGTTAGACGCTGTTGTTGCCGCAGCAATGTTTACTCTACTGATATGTCACTTTGCTAAGGCTGAGCCTGTGCAGGTATTCAACAGCTGTCAGACACCAGTGTAAGGCATAAACATGCCGAATTATCCCGTTGTCTTTTGGAGGTCTCCCAGTAGCAAAATAGAGTTTCTCAAAATTGCAAAAGGCAAAAGGGCTTATCCCGGTTTCTGAAGTCGGGATATGATGTTTACATGCACAAAAACAAAAAACAAGATTCTTAAAAACAGTTCAAAACCAGTATACTCAAGTCCATGTAAACACACTCAATCATGTGTGTCACTGTGTCCGTGTTGTTAGTACTAATTTTCAAGTCATTCATCTTGGTAACATTGTGAAATGTCAAGTCTGTCAACCACCTGTTAGCACTCCTACTTTTGTGAAACACCTAAATTGTAGCAGATCTTTAGTTGAGTCAGAGCCAACCATATGTTGTCAACAACTGTTTGCTAGACAAAGAGTCTACATCTGTTACGTATACAAATCAGTGTCATGTCATCTTTATTGTTTATAGTGATGTACCCAAATAGAAAGGAATTTGTGGGTTGCACCTTTTAACAGCACTGTGAACACTGTTACTTTGTCAGTGATTTGTAAGCATGCGTGTTTGGTGAAGTTGTCTGACCTCGACCGATTAAATGGTGTTATAATCTACAGTCTGTGTCACGATTTCTTCATTGGATGTATACAGCAGAAACAACCCCCACCTAACGTCTGTCATAATGTGTTTTCAGAGCTTGAGGAGGCTGGAGGCTTGAAGTTGCACAACACATTGAACGCAGAGAATGAAAACAAAAGAAAGGTATGTGTCCCTCTGCTAATTATTCGAAACTCAGATTTTATCCTGCAATTGCATCTGATAACTCAGTTACTGGACCACACCTTTGTGGTCTATTGCTGAGTAATCACGTACATAAAGAAAACAGATATCATCTAAACTTTGAAGTCTTTCTGGTTTTATCCCAAACAGCCGACTGATGAAAATGGACACCATCACAGTGGGTTAGCACACAACAAAGGGAGCAGTCAAGGAGTTCCTCAACAGACTAAACGCCTCAGGAAACAATGCTGATTACAACACTGAATCTTTTACAGCTAAAATACAGGTGAAAGACACTATAAACACTGGAGGTTACAAAAAAAGAAATTAAATCAGCAGTAATGTTTTTATATCGGGGAATAACATACGATATATGTAAGGCATGGAAGGCATGTCTTCTCAGGTTTTATTTGTTTTTAACTACATAGGAATGAAGTCAATTTTTCACAACAGCATGTCTATACTGGATTGACTTTAATCGTTCTACTCTTACTTCTAACTGTAAGAGTAAGCATGCTGTTCAAACCTGTCTATTCTTTATTTAGATTGATGTTAACTGTCATTTGCAGGTAATTTTCAGGGAATCATGTTTTTAATACATCACTCATAGTTATGAACCGGCAATTATTATCAAAATATTTTTTATGATTTCGACAAAAACAGCAGCTCTAGCTGAAAATGTGGAATATATGTACATATTGTTGCAGATTTTGTAGTGATTTGATCTGTTTGGAATAAAAGATTTTATGGAAACGTCTCGTGGACCCTGACTCTGCAGTCATCGAGGGCTGGCTTGAATGAAGCACATGGAGTTATATTATACATATACTCATTGCATGGTATCTTTTCCCCTCTTTTGTCTCAGCCAAACAAACATGGACACTGTTTGACAAGTGTGCAATTATTTACCAACATTCCCACGTTTATTAACAGAGACTGCTAGTGGCTCCCATCAAATAGCCTCACATTAACAGGGACAACCATGAGGGGTTGAAATGATGTATATATATAACCATGCATAAAAGGAACTATAACCAACAACATACAAAGTGTTGATACGGGTGATGTCATCATGTGAGTCGTTAAATACAGAGGTCAATATGGTAACATAATTGATAATATTATATACATTAATGAAATGAAATGAAATGTGAACACTTAGGATGCACAGATATATCAGCTAACAATCTGTGTCAGTCAACGGTGTCCTTGTTGACACGTAACCTTTCAACTAATAATCTGGCATTCACAGATTGCAGTAGCTAATAAATATCTGTTACCTCGCGTCGATTTAATGATGGCAAGCTACTGTAGTACAGATCATGTTTTAAAAATGTTTGCTTTCAGGGAAAAAAACTGAATTATGTGTAGAAAAAACACAAGAGCTGAAAGACAGCCCTATTTATGTAATTTCTCATTATAGTTAAGATTGTTTTCCTCATTTGACTGCTTTTCTAATGACTAATTATTTAAATTGAATTCAATATTATATCAGAAATTATATCAGAATTGGTATCAGTGCTGATTTTCTTTATCGTTGCATCTCTAGTTGGTACAGTACATGACTATATACTCAGACTCTGACTTGAGCGGTGGATGTTCTGTGTGTAATTTGAACTGTTCATATATAAATCGTAGGTATGTGCAGATGTTTTAAGTGTAATGGGGCTGTTGTTGGTTTTTGACTGCCTCACTTTGTCAAACTGATGTTCTGTGGGTAGCAACTGTTCTGTTTTTGGTTGTTTTGGGGCACAGTGCTCCTAAACGTCCTTTTTTAAAATCCTCCAGTCCTGATTTGCTTTGTAGACTTTTGCTGCCCTTTTTGTTGGCCAATCAAAAGCAGTCTGATAAAAATGGGAAAAGCAGACAGAGAACTGGTTCAGCAGCCTGTGAGGCAGGTTGAACTCTCTGATCCGGTGCACGAAGCAACCCCCCCTAGTGTCTCTTTTTGATGTCAATATCTAGTACTGGGGGATAAGTGATCCTAGCAACCTGAAGATTTCCACAGCAGACATTCTGTTGAGCATTACGCTGTAGTCATCTCCACCTTTGTGCATGTTCAGTATCAAAATGTCTCAATAGGTGATCCAACACAGTCGGCCATATGAATGGTTTGTCGTCTGCAGGGACTTTAACAGACCAGACTGCTGAGGTGCAGGGGGAGACAAGGCAATAGGAAAGCGCTCACTCCTGCCTGCAGGCCTCTTTACCTCTATACATGATTGTTAGATCAGATTCTATGTTTCAGGCTGTAGTTTAAAAGGCAACACTTCAGATATGGTGCAGCAAGGTTCATTCGTGTTTTTATTCCTGGTGGAACTTTTCATTTGCTCTCCTTATTTTTGTATTTCTAGCCAATGAGCAGGTGACTTTGGCCTCTACTTTTTCTTACATTAGGGAGCTGTCTTGTATATTTGATTCATAATGTAGAAACATATGGAAATTAAAGACATGCTTGAATGTGATAAGCATTAGATTCCAGACAAAAATCGTTATTTAGCTATGAATTAAAGTGTTATTTAAAAAAAAAAAAATGGTACAGATTTGTGCTCTCTTTTGGTTAGAAAATAGGTAGAAGAGTTGCCACGGACAATTACCTCTTGTCAACAGATGGTGTTTTTGGCCTGTGCAGAATCTTGCACAAATGGGGCGTACTTCACGCAGAGCTCAGCCAAACAGAAAGAAACAAGTAGAAGTGCAGTGGAGGGCGGATTTACATCTGAGGTTTAATCTGCAGACTGAAGAACACAGTCCATTCAAACTTTAATGAACTCATTATCTCTTGCAAATACAAAAAAAACAATCGTCACATGCAGCTAACTTTTTTTGCATTCAGGATAAACAGGCCTTCATTGCTGTCGAGCCTCATCTTATTACTGGATGTAACACCTCTGTTCAATGCAACGACCAGCACACATTTCAGACTAGTCTGTAACGCCCCCGTCTGGACGGAAAACTGCAGAGCTCAACTGGTATTCACATCACCCAATTCCTGTTTGCCAAAAGAAAACAAAATGTGTTCCTGCTATTTATTTTTGCATTAAATGAATATTAAATAATGGTTTTTATTATATCCAATCGAGTTGATACACAAAGACTGCAAGAGGCTCTGAAAAGGTTTATTTCACACCGTTGTACAAAAATGCAACTGTGACAAGATCAAGGATTTCTTTACAAAACATATAACTGAAACATTCAGACTCTCCTCCAACTGATTCACACAGTGCTAATTCTAATTTCCAAACAAGTAGCTCCACACCACTAGTGTTCAGTAACTTCCTTTCCTTTTTTAATACTTCAACGAAGTATAGTGTTTAATCTGAATAAACGTTGGCTTTGAATATGGGCATCTGCTAGATCAGCTCGTTGAGAAAGGAGAGAAAAGCAAGCCACTGAACACCAATGAGACGCAGCCAGGTCGAATTTCTCAAACAACGTCAGTGCTGTTAGTCCTTTATGGTTGTAGATTTTAATCACAGGTCATGTTTATCCAGAATTTTGGTTGAATTGCCTGTTTGGCCCTCAAGAATTTGACGACCAATGTCCATCCATAGTATACCGAGTGTGCTCGTGTTGTCTTTAGCCCATCAGGTATCCACTGTAAAGACACAAGATTCATTCATTTTAACAAATCACACAAATGTCAGTTCAGATGAGCAGAATTCCAAAATCAAGCCAAGTCTGTAAGAATCAGATTGACGTTCGATTAAAGACAAACATATCACACTCACGGCAGCTTCATGCGCATGAACACTCGGGCCATGAAGAAGCTGAGGAGGACGCTGACGAACCCGATGAAGAGCAACAGGAAGCGGTTAAGTTTGGGAATGTTTGGCGCGTTCGAGCGGTCCAGGATTATGAAGCCCAGGCCTCCCATTGTGAAGAGGAAACTGGAAGCCAGTCCTTCCATGATGTACTGCCCATTCACTCTGGAAAAAAACAAAATGAGCTTAAATTGACCATCAGATGCGATGATGACCTCCTTTACGCTACTTGCTGTACTTGTAGTTTGAAATGCTTATAATGTCATGTGGCGTACCTGTAGGCCAAAAAGGCAACCGGCCTCTGGTGTCCATGTTCATCAGTCATTGAGCCCACACTTGGTGGCTCCACAATGACGTCATAGATGATACCTGTAATGTAGGGAGGGGATTGAGATGATGACAACTTCACTACCACATATTGATCAGGAAATAGATGCTTCCACGACTTAGATACTGCAGGATAACCAGATCAAGATGAATTCCTGCAAAGTTAAGCGCACATTCTCATAAACTGTGTTCACAGTGTGCAGAAAAGACGATTTCATGTGCAACAAACCGAACATATCTGACATTATTTCAACCCGACATGAACATGCATTTACTTAGAATCCCATGCTGACAAGATTTAGCATAGCTTAGCTTAGCGCATTCATTTACCTCCTGTGATGAGAAAGTAGGACACAATCACAGCCGCGTACACAGTCATAGCCGACGGCATGTGTAGCCATGATGGTTTCTTCAGTTTTACATTTGGACACTCCAGCACGGTGAACGGTACACTGTATAAAGTCTCCATGATCTGTAGAAGAAAGCAGTGACTGAGATCTGCCTGCGACGCGACTTTGTTGACGTGTCCCGGAAGTAATTTTTTTTTTTCCCCCCTCGAAGCTCACTTTACTATTAACAATAAATCTAATTTATTTTTTTATTAGATTTTAAAATGTTTCTTTGAGTAATAAATTGCTGCAAGCTTTGGTAAATAATGTATTAAATATATTTAGTTATTTTTTTTTTATCTCATCGGTCAGGATGATGACGCGTCCTTAAAGGGACAGTAACGCAGTCAACATTGGACAAGGGATGAATCTCATTTTTGTTGTCATCACTCTTACGACCAACAATTTAGGTTAAAAAAAAAATACTTGCTTGTAAATTCTATTGACTTAGACCTTCCTTAAAATACACATTCACATATTTAATTAGTTGTTGTTTTATCTATCCCATTGTTTCCTCCCATTATTCACATCAGCTTTCGCAGTCTTTCCATCACAAGATATTTAAGTTAAGTATTGGAATAGATTGTGCCTCAGGAACCCACATAAATCTTTCAGCATGCATGTACTCTAAGTCACATCTTTGTGATATCAGCAGAATCAGTACATCTTCACTTCTGGTGAGATAACCCTCTTTGAAACTGATATGATTTAAAATGTTCATTATTGATCATGATTTATTATACCAAATGAAAACATTCAAAATCATAATTTTGAAACAATCCATACATTTTCAAATGGCAGTTTTGACATTGTTGAATAAAAAATGAATCCATCTTAATGTATCAGGTTTAAAGTATCAAGTGCCAGTTATGTCATCTCATTTCAATTAAAACATAATCACAACAAGAAATTCATTTGTCTGTCATTTTTTTATTGTGGCAATACAAATACACATTTTACTTAGTTTTCTGGCTCTGTGCCTGTGCCTTGAGCACCTTGACGACGATCTTCTGCTCCTCAATCAGGAAAGCACGCTTGATTCTAAGAAAAGAAAAAGAAAAGCCAGTCAGACATAATGCATTAAACATTCAAATAACAATCGGCAGTGAGTGAACACTCGTTCATTTTTATAATTTTTTTGGATCAAAAGCTTAAGATGTATGCTGTGAGTTAATAGCAAAGACTGTTAATATCAACTGATATTAAAAGCAGGGGGCTTTGGAAGTCTGTTGCCATGCAGGAAATGCTGTCTCAACCTAACAACAGGCTAAGAGCTGCAGCCAAGGCAGGTGTTAAGCCCCTTGATAAACCACTACATTGCACCCACCTTTCAACAGGTAGGATATGGGCCTAACTGGCATGCTTCATAAAATCAAAAAGGATGAGTTATAATACCCTCCGCCCCTACAAGTGTGCCCATGATGACAGTGACTTATCAAACTAAACCACTTTCTTGTAAAATGCTGCAAAGCACGTTAATTTCTGCTGTAAAAACAGACGTTTTTTTTTATTTTATATATTTTTTAAACGGGGTGTGTTTGTGACCTCCAGGTGTCTTGGGACTAGCCTCTAAGCAGACACCCAAAGAGCTGCAGTTTCAACACCAGAGGTTGTTGCTTGGTTAGTAGCAGTAGTTGTGGCTTGTCCTCATTAATACAAATATAAACATCATTGCAGTTTCTTCTCCATTAGAATTGATAAATGCCCCTCATACCTGTCACGCACACACTTGGCGCACATGGAGCCTCCGTAGGCCCTGCTGACGTGCTTCTTGGTCTTGGAGAGCCTCATCAGAACCTGAGGTCTAACAGCACGGATCTAATGGACAGAAAAGAAACACGACAAAAGTAAGAAGTGTGTCCTGAGATCAAGACATTTACAACACAACACCTGGCTGACAGTTATCATAAATGTTGTGCAAGTGCGATCAGACATGTCTGCATTTAAATAACCAGACCCTTTACAACTCACTAGAAACTAAAAGTTAATGTCACATCCTGAAACTTAACAATTTGAGCAACCTGTCCAACACTACATACACAAATACTCTGTTCAAATCATTGAACCATTATCTTCCTAAATACTTCTGTGTATGAGAATGTCTAACTGAGGCCTGCACCTCCACTTTCAGGCAATTTGGAAATGATTGTTGATATACTTTGATTATAATGTCAGCATTCAACAGGGGTCTAAAATTAAAGAGGGACTTGACTCAGGTAGTCATAGATGTCTCTAGATATTGAAATCTGATAAGTTCAGTTTAACCTGACCATGAGGTCTCTAACAATCTAAACAGATGTCATTTATTAGACTTTTCTCTTAAGCCAAATACTTCAGGGCACAGATTCTGATAAGACACCTTTAATCCTGTGCTTGCTTGTGTTCTTAGAGTTGTTAGTAAACAGGATCTTCAAACCATCTTTTATAATGAGTCCCCTTCAACTGGATGTCCACATGCCAAATCTGGATGATTCCAGCTGCTAGACTTATAAAGTCCAAATCCTATTGAGACCCTTAAATCCAAACAGCTTCACTAATTACAACCACAGCCGAGGAACTTTCATCACAGGTTTGGAAAATCAAAGTACTAACAAATGCCCTTAAGAGCGTTATATTATGTAGTTCTTCCATTAAATATCTGCATACTTTATAACCGGCTTTTGGGGTCATTTTGTCAGGGGAAACAAGCACTACATTTCAACTTCTCTTTTCAAAGCGGGAATAAAAGCAAAGGTTGTTTTGCATTCTTTTACACCTTATTGAGTATGTGTTCTTGTTAGCTTTGTTGTTTTTGCTGAGACTACATTAACAATATGTCTCTGTGTTACATGTTTCTCTTCAGGAGGGCCACTCGACGAGCCCCTCTGGGTTTATTTGGCACATTACTTTGAGAATGTATAGTTTGTTAATTAACTTAATCATTATGTACTGTCTGTTTTTCCATTGATCTATTATGTTTATGTTTTTTTGTGCAATAAATAAAAATTAAATTTTTTTAAAAAAAAAAGGTCTGTGCATTCTTGGACCACCTTGCCCCCAAATACTTCAGAGCCTCACCACAACTGATAAACATATAGATTAACTTTATTGATCCCCGTGGGGGGATATTTGTGCATTACAGCAGCTCCAGAAAACAGGGGACGGGAATATAATTATTAAAAAATATAAGTAAAAAATCAAATCGAACATATTTACATTCAGTTAAATAAATAAAAAATACAATAATGGAAAATGACACAGTAACTACACTGGAAAGTTGCAAACTACTTCTTGCAAATGTCACTGCCTCATGTTAAAGGAAGAATATTAACCACATATTGCCCTGTTTTGTTTCATTGATGCCTAGTGTTTTAAAAACGACCAGCCCCATCTGGCATCCCCCCCCCTGACCCCTGCAACCACGAGAAAAGCAAGACAGCCTCACAAACAAACAAACAAACAATGAGTCCACTTACTCCACGCAGTCTTCCTGGGCAGATGCCACATGCTGACTTGGGAGCCTTGCCGACCTTCTTGGTGTACAGGTACACAATTCGGTTACCGGGCGTCCGGGACCTGCAGGAATTTACAAGTTGTGAGGTTTTGGTGAGCCAACCAAGCAGACGATGTAACAGAGAAACTTAAAAAACATAAAAGGATACTTACAGTCTGGTCTTGTTGGAGGCGGTGTTGTAGGACAACCTACGTCGGTAAGTCAGGCGCTGCACCATCTTGAAGCTGAAAACATAAACAATATTATTACTTATAAAGCGGATAATTGGTGTTTTTTTTCCCACCGGATAACATAAATACAAAATACGGATTTAAATATTTCCCTCGGTAAGTTATGAAATGCATTTTCAGTGTATTTTTCTGCTACAGTACAGAAACAGGAGCACCCGCCTGTTTTTAACATATCACACAAAAAAACAACTTATTAACGAAATGATCACACAATACGACTAAACGAGAGGTTTTAACTATTAACTCCACCTAAAAACACCCAAAACTGTCTTCTAAGAGTTACGATTACAGCGGATTATAATGTCAGAATATTTCAGAGGAAGGCAGAGGGGTTGCCATACTTGCTGTCGCCGTAACCGGAAGAGGAAGGAGCAGGGCGGATGTTGAGAGTTTAAGGCCGGTATTTCGACGCCTCTGCCTCTTTTTTTTTTGTCTGCCCCCTGCTGGTGATTCTTTTCGTATAATATTGTTGCGCTGGGATAAATCTGAACATACAGAGAGAAAGATTATTTTGTATCCTGTAATTGCGACACATTTAGACCATTAAAATGACCTGACAACTTGTGAGAATTTTCACTTTTTACATTTTAATATGCTATTATATATTAAATATATTAGATTTTATGAATTTGTTTCCGCTATATTCACTTTTATACATCTTTTGAAATCTTTAAACAATTTATGAAAAAAAAAAAAAAAAAAACAAAAAAAAACTTGTAATTGGCTAATTTCCACAGTTTATAAGTAAATTCGCAGTAATGATGGGACGCTTCACTTTTATGTTCGGCTGCCGAAATGTCTCGTCACTGATTGACATTAATAATAATAATTATAATTATAATAATAATAATAATAATAATAATAATAATAATAATAATTTAAATTAATAATTAAATTATGTTCGGCTGCCGAAATGTCTCGTCACTGATTGACATTATAATAATTATAATATTAATAATAATAATAATTTAAATTAATAATTAAATATACAGGGCGGTTGCACCTGCCGCTTTACCTGCTTGACAAGACACATTTTACATGATAAAGAAATGTTTAAGAGATTATCCCTCTAAATCTCCAAAAGAAAAATATACGCTTATTTTCACAGCCACGGAGCAGTGCAATGTAAGAAACAAGGAAGCTGTGAGAGTACAGGTTTTTTTTCATCTTTAAACAATGCGTGACGATTCCGCTAGATGGCAACATTGTAATGCTTTTTGTAAGTAGCTACAATTGAGGCAATAGTGAGTGTCTCTTAAGCAAAGCAAGTTATTCTGTCAGTCCTGGTGTTTGAAAATGCTGTTTTATCAAAAGTGAGTTTTCAAAGTGTAGGCCTAGATGTTAATCTTCTGTGTTAAACAAGTAGATTTTGGTGTGATTTTAACATTTTTAAAACAATCCAACAGGTGAACGCTTACAAATCTCATGCAT